CTTGTAAAATGGATAAGATTGACGATCTGCTTCCTGAATCAGTTTCAGTTCTCTTTATTTCTCCCATTTTCTGAGACTCAGTTATAATTGAAAGATAAAAAAACAAAGAAGAAGGCGTCCTCTGCTCTCCAACGAAGGTTGCTAGTTTGTTGTAGGGAAAAGCAAACCTCACCTCTGCCTAACAGAGAAAGACTGGTAAATCATATAAAAACAGAGGGGGTGAGAAGGAGCAAGACAAAAGGACATGAACATGACACCGTGATAAATACGTTTCAGAAACTTATAATTCAATCTTTTTTTTTCGTTTAAAGAACCAAACAAAAAAGCATTCTATAGTAAAAGTTAAAGTGTTGTACGGCGCGCTCAGTTGATTAAGACCAAAACCAGACAGTACAATAATTTTTCTATATAGTCTTCATTTGTCAAATGAGTTTTAAATATATTTTTTTGTCATCAAATGAATTCCTCCACATGAATTATTGGTGTAATTATACCATAAAAAATAATAAAAGAGTTAGATATTTACAAAAACCAAAAATAGAGTTAGACAAAATCTGCGAGAATGAGGCGAGCCAATCAACATATAATGACTTGGTCGTCGAACTAATTGAGTAGAATGCCTTCCTCCCGCTATGAGCGATTAGGATGTTCAAATACTCTTGCTAATGTCATCACTGATTGATCCACTTGTTAAACTACCTGATACAATAAATTCATCACCAATCATTGCATAAAAGTAATAATCATGTGCCTAAACATAATTAAAAATACGGATGTATAAACTGGCAAAGTAATTATTTACACTACTAGAAAACGGACTTATAATCTACAGATTATCTGGGGCCTATAATCATATTGGCCACAACCAACCTTGTAGCTTATACTATGGTTTTCTAGTATTGTTATGATCTGTTTGATTTGTTTTGTGTAATTGATTATGTAGGACATGAACATGGCATCGTGATAAATACGTTTTAGAAGCATCGTGTTTAAAGAACCAAACAAAAAAAGCATTCTTTAGTAAAAGGTAAAGTGCTGTACGGCGTTCACCCAAAAAAAAAGTGATGTACGGCGCACTCAGTTGATTAAGACAGCACTCAGTTCATTTGTCAAAAGACCAATACAAATAGAGTTAGAGTTAGATATTTACAAAAACAAAAAATAGAGTTAGTGGAAAGCGTCATAGCTTCGAACCTCCACAACCCCACACAGATTTGTTTTATTGGAAAAAAGTAAAAGAAAAAGTTAACAGTCCTCCTCGTGCTCGACTTTCGGTTTGGTTCTTATTCTTCCAAAACTTTTTGGAAGTTCCAGTGTGCCCCTATCGTCTATCTCGTCTTTGTTTGAAATGACTAGGCATTGTGACCAGTGAAAAGGAAAGGAAGGAAGAGTGCGAATAGGGTTTGAGTTTAGGGGAGGAACGAACAAAAAAAGTCTCTCAAAAGAAAGCTATGTCATGTGTGTGTGATTAAATTAATGGAAATTGTTACAAAAGTATATCATGAGTTTCTATATGTGTTTAATTAGAGGTGTTAAATGGGCCATGTTGGGCTGGTCCAGCCTGTTTAAAGTCAACTTATTTAATAAACGGGCCATGTTGGGCTTGCCCATCTAAGTTTAATGGTGAAAAAATTGATATTATTTTGCGAATGAGTATGAATAAGCCGAAGGCAAACAAAAGCAAAATCCAAAAGACACAGTCACCTTAGGGCATGTGTGGTTCGCCATTGAACTTCTTAGAAATAAATTTCCCATATTTAATCCCATGGGAATGGAGGATGTTCATTCCCACATTTGGGAACGGTGGGAAATGAGGACTAGAAAATGCAACTATTTCCCATTCATATGTTTGGTTAGTGCAGTATTCGGAATGAAAAGTTATTAAGTTTCCAACAATACCCTTGATTTTTTAAAATTATTAAAGGTTAATATATGAAGAGTTTTTTTAAGGGTGTAAAAATTGGTATTTAAAAATAATAACATGAGTAAGTTAGTAAAAAAAAACAGTATTAAATGCTTTCTCAAGTGAGGGGACAAAGTTTCCTATGGTGAGTCGAGGGCATGAACTCCGCCCCTACATGGGAAGTCCTTATCTATGAGTTCATAATTGCATTCCCAAGAGTGCACTTACCAAACATAGGTATGCAATTTGAAACACATTCCCAAGCTCCTAAGCATCTACAATGGTTGTTCAATAGTTCAACGCAATAGTTTAATTTATTAAACTATTTTGACATCGATTAAATTGAACTACAACTTTACTTGCAATGATACAGTTCAATAGCTTTAGATCAATAGTTATATCTATGGGTGGGCATCGAGATTGAAAAATCGGAACACCTAGCCAGATCGGATGGAAAAAATGGGAAAACAAATCAGTTTACGAAAAACTCAATAAATTGGACTGGACCAGTTCAAACTGGTTTCGATTTCGGTTTCACACCTTACCAAATCGGACTAGACCGGTTGTGTATATTTTTATTTTATTTTTACAAAATTATTTAAATCCAATAGTACCTTTTTAATCTTATAACTAATATTTCCCAAAATCCAACTTCAAAACATCATTCTTTTCTAGGCCCAATATCTCTCTTTGCATGAAATTTGACCATTTGTAAATTTTCAAGACTAAAAAATAAAATTTTAGTCGGAATTTGTATTAAAAATAATAATTTGAAAAAATAATAATAATCCGGTCCAAAATCGGAAAAACTGGAAATAGAATTGAAACCAGTTCAAACCAAACCTCTATTGCAATTGCATATGGTTAAGTACTTTACCAAATGGAGAGAAGCTGAAACCCTCTATTACAATTGCAATAGAGAGTTCATCATATAGCACCCTCTATTGCAATGAACTAAATCACACTATTGCAAGTGAGATTTTACTATTTTAATTCAATTTCATGCAAATAAATTGCATTGATGACTATTGTAGATGCTCTAACCTTGAAATCATTTATTTTAATACGGGAATCATTTGGACTTCAAAAGGACTTGAGACAGTACACTTATGCTTTTGGACATCAAATACTGAATACGAACCAGGTCAATTCATAATACATGATAACACAAAATGGCCAGCTGCAAGTGCCCACATTATCTTATGCTGAGCCTCTTATTCAAGCTCTTTTTTGCAAGTGCCCATATTATCTGAAGTTGAGCCTCTTATTTAGGCTCTTGCTTGATCCAACGTGTTACGTGATGAATTCTTTGTTGACGTGAGTCATATGACAACGGTAAGGATCTCCACAACAAGAGAGCCTTATTGTCTAGATCATACATCACATGCATTCGTTGCAAGTCCGCAACACACCAATTAAAGGTATTTAGGTGCTCAATCTGAAGGAGCGCACTCTTAAAAGCACTTCCACCCATTTACCATGGCAAAAGGCAAAGGCAAGACAATGGCTGTTACTATTCACGTGAATAGTGACAGCTCTTGCAAAAGGTTTGTGATGTTTCTATCCATTGTTATGAAAACTCAAGGGAAACCACTATTCACATGAGATATGAGGAGATGAATTTGTATAGAGTTTTGATGTGGGAAGTGAAGAATATGACCAAGTATTTATTTATTTTTTTAAAATCTGAAATTTTAAGTATTTTTTTTTATTTTTTTATTTTTGTTGATGACGTCATCGCTGACGTCAGCAAACCCAGGCAACAGCCCAGGCTGTTCTTGCCTTTGGGCCAGTCCAGACTTGTGGAGCCCACCAACTACTCTGGCTGCATTTGCCCGCTGGAAACACTTTTTGGGCCTAGGCCCCCTTGCCCGGGCAAATTATTGCCCGCTGGAACTGCTCTAAGGGACATTGACTTGCACATTTGTTCCAACTTGTCCTATATTTACTTTGCGGTGCCTTGCATCACATTGAACACCACCTCGTTGGCTGCTATGTTGTCCTTTTTCCCCATATCTCAAAGCTAATCATCAACAAAACCTTCCATGAAAATGATTGGATTTCTTATATGTGGTATAGCAGTGAGGAAACCATTGGTGATATGCTAATTTGTTGTAAATTCCTGCAAACTCACTCCCCCTAATTTCCATACGTTTCCCTGTTTGGACCATGTCTCTGCATTATAGTTTTCTCTTGAAATGTTAAAAATATCCAGAGTCCGTAATTGTCTACATGTCAAGCATTTTTATGAGCAGGTACAGTCATTGTTGTTCTATATGCAATCTTCAGTTAGTGACCCTCTTAGAAGAGGAAATAACACAGCACATTCGTCCTATGTCTACCACATCAAATTCAGATCTAGTAATTTGGTAGCCATAGGACATTCTGAAAATCGCTTTATTAGGCAACAAATCTTAAAAGTTTCACAGTTTCAATCACACTTAAGGTATTTGCAAAGAACAGAAAACAAATGGTTGGAGAGGCTTTTCTCTCTGCTTTCGTCCAGGCGCTGCGTGGTGAGATTGCTTCATGGGAGGGAGTTCATCGACTTGTTCAGAATTAAAGGCACTTTCCTTATTGTTCAGTTTTTCTGAAAGGCTATGAGTTCAAAGAAGGAAATCTAGTTTTACTTTGGGTGGCAGAAGGGTAAACTCCACAAGCTGAGAGTTGGCTGTCTTTGTGTCTGGGGAATTTTGTTTTAGATTGGAAGGGGAAGAATCACATAAAAAAAAATTCTTAAAAGAGCGTTTATTTATTTATTTTGCCTTTCCATATTACAAAAGCACTTCCATAAAATCAACCTATTGCACTTTCAGTTCATTATAGTTTTGGGACCCTTGCATATAAATAACACAAATCATGCCAATATAAAGTCTCAAACCTTTGCATTCTCATTCCGAAGAGTATATATGAACACTTGCATAATGATGACAAATATGAAGCTGTGACAATGTGAACGCATATAAGCCCAATCAGGCAAGATCCTTCAAAAGAACAAGAAAAACCTCAAAATTGCCATGACACGCAAACCCAGTCGGTTAAATGCCTTCTTTCACACGAAACATACCATAATTTAACTGGATTCCTTAATTATCTATCACACGAGGTATTCGGCGTAATTAAACATGTCGTCCATGATCTTACACACAACTTCTTTAGACTCCTTGAGCTTTTTGATGCTCTTGATGAGCTTCTGGCGCTTCACTGCAATTGATGGAGGTTCCTCCAGCATCCTCTCAATCCCACCACCATTGTTTGGTCCCAGTAGCTCATTCATAATCTCCATCTCAAAGTCCTTGTTCACAAGGTTTGAAACACTCAGCTGCAAATGCAAATCTATAATATTATTGCAATACGCAGTCATCCGCATTTTCAAGTTGAAAGCTTGGGACAATAGGACATGTGGGTACTTCTTTAGACCTCCAACTTCAACCATCCCAATTCCCTCTACATTTATGTTTGTATCGTCAGGTCCAGGTATCAGATAATCATTCAAGACCGTTTTGATGAATGTTTCTTTTTCAGTCATGAGCCTATTCGATTCGGATAGATATTCCGGATTACATGTATAATCAGTCAGTTTCTCCATTTCCACTATCTCCGTCATCCAATTAATTGACCTTTCTTTCATCTTTTTCAATAAGATTATGGCCTGCTCTTCTGGCAGACAATTGAACATGGTAATAGTTTTCTGTATTTCTCGTTAAACAGACAAAACCACATCCTCAATATAACTCCAAACCTGCTCAACAAACCCAATAGGTATGCTCGAAATCCCATTAACTTTACCCTGCAAAACTATAAGAAAAGCATTGCGCCGAACAAATTAGGAGACAGAATCAGTCTGCTATGGACCTCTGGTAAATTGGTAATGGTACCCTATCAATATCAAGGGAGGCTTTAGAATGAGTACCTACGCACCAAAACAAACATGAAAAATAAAAATCTGCAATGTTAATTTTAGCCTTAAAAAACTGTGAATAAAACTAAGGGATATTTTCTGCTTTTAAAAACCAAATAATGTATTGTAGGCTCTTATTAATGGCGCCTGAGTTGATGTTGATCAGTAAATTCATGTGTGTCTAGACTCAAAATACCTGCAAATATACAAATGGTCTGACTCTGACCCTTCATCAGATCTTACCAAAACGCGTTTAAAAAATCAACGGCTTAAATGTAAATCTATTGGGCCAGTGCAGTTCCCCAGTACCTGCACAACGATGATTTTAATATTATGTGTGGTGACCCTCCTCACCTCAGTCCTCTATTGGAATAGTCCCAAGAGATTCTATTCAGAATACTTGTCGTTTCATGGACTGCCCACATATTAGTATACTATATCTATTCTTTTGTACTCGACTGATTCAGTTTTTAAGAGCGGTAGATCTTTGCTATCAGACAGAAACATCATACTAAGGCCCATCATCATGTAATTACTTTTATTTTATTTTTTTAAATACAAACGATAGTCTAGATAACAAGGTAATGAGAATTTCTCACACACACAAAACTAAAATGACATTGGGATTCAAACCAAAGTATCATGATACACATGAATTTACTGATCAGAGTCAGAGTCAGACCATTTGTATATTTGCAGGTATTTTGAGTCTAGACACACATGAATTTACTGATCAACATCAACTCAGGCGCCATTAATAAGAGCCTACAATACATTATTTGGTTTTTAAAAGCAGAAAATATCCCTTAGTTTTATTCACAGTTTTTTAAGGCTAAAATTAACATTGCAGATTTTTATTTTTCATGTTTGTTTTGGTGCGTAGGTACTCATTCTAAAGCCTCCCTTGATATTGATAGGGTACCATTACCAATTTACCAGAGGTCCATAGCAGACTGATTCTGTCTCCTAACATGTGAATATGGAAGGTTGATACCTTTTGCCTCCTCCAAAATCGCAATCTCCTCCAGTAAGAAATCACTTTTGGGGTCACTCACATTGCACTCGTGAAGCTGATCTGAGCACTTATGGAGCATCTCGACAAGCCTGGCCTTGCAATGCATGTGTTTGCCATCCGGGAACTCATCAAATTCTCCCGTCACAAGAATTTTCTTAAGTGATTCTTTGGATGTTCCAATGATCTGCATAACAGCAGTCATGGCCTCAGCAACAGATAACAGCTTTTTAGGCATTTTGTTGAGCTCTGAAAGGTAAGAATTCAGCTTGTCAGCCAAAACCTGAATTCCAACCATAGACTTATCAATCTTCGAAAGAAAAGGATCAGTTTCAAATAATCAATCCGCAATAGCCCTCGCCTCCTCATACGTTTCATCGCGAATTCGGTTCCTTACACAGACATATAGCTGACCAATGTCCACATCATCAGCTGTAATAACCTTTGTCATTGTAGGATGAGACAATTAAGCCCACCAAACAATGGTTAGGATCCATGTTCATTTCAATTGAATCTACCTAATCCAATCCGGCCTATCAAACAGGGCTATAACATTCTAAAGAACAAGTGCCTAGAAGGCCAAAGCTCCATTGGGAAGTGATTAATTATTCCCACCCATTGAGCTTGGCAAAAGCAAATGCCAATAGATTCCCATTGACCAAATGGAAGACTAACAAGGGTCCCAACTCAGAGAAAAGCCCCCAAAAGGGTTCAAATTGTGATCATGACAAAGGAAGGTGTTTCTACCATCACCCCCAGTGTCGTGAATTAGAGATCTAGGAAGGAACAGAGGATAGAAATTTCCTCCTATTCCAGGAACAAGCCTGGTAAGGTTTAGCAACCCAAAAGACAAAAGCAGAATGTGCTTATAATTAAGTAGAAACAGATCATCCACACAAGAACATCAACCAACCAGGTACATGATAAACAAAATGCAGATCCATAATTAAGTACAAACAGATCAACCACACATCATTGGCAAAATGCCTTCTTTCACACGAAACATACCATAATTTAATTGGACTCCTTAGTTATCTATCACACAAGGTAATCGGTGTGAGTAAACCTGTCGTCCATGATCTTACACACAACCTCTTTAGACTCCTTGAGCTTTTTGATGCTCTTGCTGAGCTTCTGGCGCTTCACTGCCATTGATGGAGGTTCCTCCAGCATCCTCTCAATCCCACCACCATGGTTAGGTCCCAGTAGCTCATTCATAATCTCCATCTCCAGGCCCTTGTTCACAAGGTTTGAGACACTCAGCTGCAAATGCAAACCCATGATATCAATCAACCTTCTCAGCACAATATTCCAATACGCAGTCATCCGCATTTTCAAGTCAAAAGCTTGAAACAACAGGACATGTGTGTACTTCCTTAGACCTCCAACTTCAACCATCTCAATTCCCTTTACATTTATGTTTATCTCAGCGTCACGCAAGACCTTTTGGATGAAGATGTTAACGACAAATGCACCCTCATTTTCTATTGTGCTCTTAACCATGTAAATATGAATCGTGCCTATCCTAATAAGAATTCTCTTTTGGCTTCAAACAAGCAAGAGTGCAAGTCCTGTATGAAACTAGATGATCAGCTTGATCATGCCCTGAAATGCTATGCTCTTGGAGAGCACACCACTTAGGGCTCCAAGTGTGCTCTAAATATTGAGTCTTTTCCTTTTCTTACTATTATGCGATTGAGCTTGATTCTTGAATATAATATGTAGATTTCTTAAGAACACGAAATGTAATATGTAAGTGCAGTTGCGGAGCTAGGATTCTTATCATGGAGGGGGCCAAAATTACAAAATCACTTACACATAGGTTTTTCATTTTCTGAGAGGGCCAGCAGTAATCTAATTGCAGTAATTGTATTGCTATATCATATATTTTAAAATATATTGCACATGACATAGCAATCACATCTTTTCTAATCACTCAAATTTGAACTCCTTCTATTTTGAGGCCTTCACATTTGAAGGCACATGGGAGTTGAAGATAACATAAAACTCCACGTGCCGTTACTGTAGATACACCGGTCCATATTCTGGAGTAATACTATTGCCCACTTGCACAGGGGTGAAGCCACAACAAGGGCTGCCATCCTCTCCCCCCCAAAAAAAAACAGTTTGAGTCCTATGTATAGATGAAAAGTTGTATTTCTGGAGGTGAAATTTCGGGTTTGAGTCTTTTACCTTTGGAGATGGTCTAAAAGTTTTCACTCTTATATTCTTGCGTTTAAATTTGTGTGATAGTGTGAACACTAAAGAGAACTTCACTGATACTTTTGATAGTGTAGACACCATTTTGTGTTGTAACTTGTCATGCATTATTGAAGTGAGGGGTTCATGCATTTTCGGCCACTATTTGATGTACAAAAGCATAAGTTCCCTTCCGATGTAAAACAAAAACCAAAGCATAAATTCCCATATTAAGGTAAAAGATTCCTATGTCTGCATCTTTCACATTGTGCATGTCATGTTCATGTATCTTTTTTCTCTATTTATCCATGATTTCTCTGTTAGGCAGAGGTCAAGTTTGCCTAAAACAACCCCCTTCAATTTTTTCTCCTCTCTCGGTTTGTCCATGACTTCCTCTTCCCATTTGATTTCAATTATATCTCAGAAAATGGGAGGAAAAAGAACTCAAACTGATTCAGGAAGCAGATCATCAAGCTCATCCATTTTACAAGATGATCAAGAAGGCTTATCATTTTCCTCATCAAAAGCACAGCTACTTTTCAACAACGCGCCAATTGTCTCATCCTACAACGACAAAATTCGCCCTATGCTTGATGCCATTGACAAGCTCCGCGTTCTCATGGTTATGGAGGAAGGCATCCAGCTGCCCACCATTGTTGTTGTGGGAGACCAGTCATCTGGCAAATCCAGTGTTCTTGAGTCCCTCGCCGGCATCAGCCTGCCGCGTGGACAAGGTATCTGCACAAGGGTTCCTCTCGTAATGAGGCTTCAGCACCACTCTGATCCTAAACCAGAGCTTTCACTGGAGTACAATGGCAGAGTTGAGCAGACTGATGAGGAAAACATTTCAGAAGACATTGTGAATGCCACTAATCTGATTGCAGGGGACAAAAAGGGAATTTCAGACACCCCATTGACCTTGTTGGTGAAGAAGAATGGTGTGCCTGATTTGACCATGGTTGACCTCCCTGGAATTACTAGAGTTCCAGTTCATGGCCAGCCTGAGAATATCTATGATCAAATCAAAGATATGATCATGAAGTATATAAAACCAGATGAGAGCATCATTTTGAATGTTTTATCTGCTTCTACTGATTTTAGCACATGTGAGTCAATTAGTATGTCGCGGAGTGTGGACAAAACTGGTGAGAGGACTCTGGCTGTGGTTACAAAGGTTGACATGGCACCAGAGGGACTGCTGGAGAAGGTTACAGCTGATGATGTGGACATTGGTCTTGGCTATGTCTGTGTAAGGAACCGGATTCGAGATGAAACGTATGAGGAGGCGAGGGCTATTGCGGATCGATTATTTAAAACTCATCCCCTTCTTTCAAAGATTGATAAGTCTATGGTTGGAATTCAGGTTTTGGCTGACAAGTTGGTCCAAATTCAAGCTGTTAGCATAGCTAGAAACTTGCCTGTTATTGTAAAGAAGATCGATGACAAGCTCAATTCTTACCTTTCAGAACTCAACAAATTGCCGAAAACTCTGTCAACTGTGGCTGAGGCCATGATTGTTTTTATGCAGATCATTGGAGCATCCAAAGAATCACTTAAGAAGATTCTTTTGATGGGAGAATTTGACGAGTTCCCGGATGACCAAATGCATTGCACGGCTAGGCTGGTTGAGATGCTCAATCAGTGCTCATATCAACTTCACGAGTGCAATGCGAGTGACTCCAAAAGTAATTTCTTAGTGGAGGAGATTGCGATTTTGGAGAAGGCGAAAGGTATCAACCTTCCCAATTTTGTTCAGCGCAATGCTTTTCTTCAAATTTTGCGGGGAAAAGTGAAGGGGATTTCTGGCATACCTCTTGGGTTTGTTGAGCAGGTTTGGAATTATATTGAGAATGTGGTTTTGTCTGTGTTAATGAGAAAAACAGAAAAATATTATCAGCTTCAACTGTCTGCCAGAAGAGCATGCCAAAATCTTATTCAACGGATGAAAGAAAGGTCCATTCATTGGATGACGGAGATTTTGGAAATGGAGAAGCTGACTGATTATACATGTAATCCAGAATATGTATCCGAATGGCATAGGCTCATGACTGAACAAGAAACATTCATCACAAAGGTATTTTGTAATTCTCATGATCTGGAACTTGGACTTCACACTGAGATGAAAATAAATGTAGAGGGAATTGGGATGGTTGAAGTTGGAGGTCTAATGAAGTACCCACATTCTCTATTGTCTGAAGCTTTCGACTTGAAAATGCGGATGACTGCATATTGGAATGTTGTGCTGAAAAGGTTGATTGATTCTATGGCTTTGCATTTGCAGCTGAGTGTTTCGAACCTTGTCGACAAGCACATGGAGACGGAGATTGTGAGTGAGTTAATGGGACCTAACAATGGTGTTGGGATTGAGAGGATGATGGAGGAACCTCCATCAATTGCAGTGAAGCGCAATAAGCTCATCAAGAGCATCAAAAAGCTCAAGGAGTCTAAAGAGGTTGTGTGTAAGATCATGGATGGAATCGTTACTTTTGCCAATTAACTTATTGTGTGATAGATATAGCTAAGGAGTCTAGCTAAATTATGGTCTGTTTCTTGTTAATCAAGGCATTCTGTCATTTGGTGATCTGTTTGTACTTAATTATGAAGTCTATGTGTTTGTTTGCTTTTCTTTTTATGTCTCGGGGCTTTTAGATATGTCTTTTAGCCTACGAACTCCTGGTTTCATTTGATGTGTCTCGGCTACCACTCATGGCTTGCCTTCATCATCTTAATGGAAATTTCATCACTATTGACCAAAAAAAAAGGGTCAGAAAATAGACGTGGCAACTATAGAGACAACATCATTTGTAGAGTAGTCGTCAGCCCTATATCTGCTCTTAGTTAACTCAAAAACGAGTCAATACAAGAAAATTAAATTTACATTTTTAGATATACATCTCATCCATTGGAGCAAAAATATAATTTATATCTGCAGGAGATGTGTAAATGGGATATAAAAGCGGTTTTACAACCCCAAATTTACACCTTCCCACTGTGGAAGCTCTTAGTGGAGAGAGAGAGAGAGAGAGAGAGAGAGAGAGAGATGCAGAGAGGGATATTGTTATTGTGGTTTGGATTAAGTGGAGGTGAATGAACAAAAATGTCACTAAAAAAAAAGTTACGTGCATGATTAAATTAATAGAAATTGTGACAAAAGAAGATGGTAAAGGGCAAATAAGAACTTCTCAAAAGCTCATGTTGATCAAACAAATAATTGAAGCCCAACATCGCTTGTATAAAAGAATAATTGAAGGGCACAATGTGAAACAAAGATCATAATTTACAGCTATTCCTTTTTGTTTGTTTGATCTTTTTTTCGAATGAGACACTTTAATGTACGTAGGTAGGAATCTTAGAAGCTACGAATATAGGAATATAGTTATGAGAAAATGAAGTAGGTATTGTGTGTTTGGATACTGAGAAAAGTCATAGCTCAGAGAATTTTGTGGCTAAACCCTATTCAATACTTCGGGCATTTTGGTTTATTGAGAGTAGAAGGCTTGCTTGTGTTTGGTCGGTCATGTCTTCTTCTTCTTCTACAGGTGTGTTAGAGAACTTCAACCCATCCCCTTTTATCATGGTAAAAGGAGGGCCTAAGCTCCAAACATACAAAGGAAAAGTTACATTGGCAAGAAGTGGGCCCACGAAATTGGGGCAAGCCAGAAGGCAAGACTTGCTTGGGCTACTGCTTGGGCAAGGTGACGTTAACGGCCAATTTAAATACCAAAAAACTTATATATAAAAATAAAAAAACAAAATTTTCAGAATTTTGTCTCTTTACAAATTAAATTTTTGTATTTTGTAATAAATTTTTTTTAACCATTTTGTGCAACAAAAATTACAGAGTGAGTCTCTATACAAAGAACAAATGTTCATGAGACTCAAGGAAAGAATTACAAAGAACGCATAAAGTCTGTCTACAGTGGCTAGCCTACCTTCAATTGGTGGCTAACCAAAGAGGATGAAACTCAGACCCCGTTTGGTAAGCTGGCTTGAACTGGTTAGAATGGGTTTTGAAACATTAGACTGGGCTGGCTTGGATTTGAAGTCCAGTCCCCATTCAATTTTGCACCAAACAACAGACTAGGATTGAGTTCAAATTTTTTTATTTTTATTTTTTTTTCTTAACAAGAATCAGATGCAAATTCCTAACTTCTTTGCCTCAAATTGAAGAAAAAGCCCCCAACTTTTGCAAGAAATAAACCAGAAACTCAAACTCATATCAATGATTAGTTTCCAATCTGAGGTCAATAAAACAAATTATATATAAAAAAAATACATCATTCGGCATCTAACCCAAAAGAGCAAGGCAACAATCATCAAAATATAAAAATATTTAACGATAAAATTAAAAACAAAGGCTCAGAGAGAAACCTGAAGCTTTTTTTAGTTAGGGAGAGAGAGAGAGAGATTATATATGTATATATATATAGAGAGAGAGAGAGAGAGAGAGAGAGATTTGAAGCTTGTATGAGACAAATAAAACAGAGAGAGAGGAGGGAGAAAGACAGGAGACAGAGAGAGAATAGAAGAGAGGAGAGAGGAGAAGGAGGAAAATAAAATACGACAAATAGGGCAAACCAGAGAAGACGACTTTGTGTTGAAAAGAGATGACGACTTCTTTATAAACCCATGTCTGGTGATGGGTTCTGGAGCCGCTCTTATTCTGGATTAGTGTCCAATACTCATATCCATTCCATGATATATTTTAAGCTCACCAAACAATGGTTAGAATCCATGTCCATTTTAATTGAATCTAACATTCTAAAGAACAAGTGCCTAGAAGGCCAGAGCTCCATCGGGATGTGATTAATTATTCCCATTGAGCTTGGCAAAAGCCAATGCCAATAGATTCCCATTGACCAAATGGAAGACTAACAAGGGTCCCAACTCAAAGAGAAAAGCTCCCAAAAGGGTTCAAATGTGATCATGACAAAGGAAGGTGTTTCTACCATCACCCAGTGTCATGAATTAAGAGATCTAGGAAGGAACAGAGGATAGAAATTTCCTCCTATTCCAGGAACAAGCCTGGTAAGGTTTAGCAACCCAAAAGACAAAAACAGAATGTGCTTATAATTAAGTAGAAACAGATCATCCACACAAGAACATCAACCAACCTGGTACATGATAAACAAAATGCAGATCCATAATTAAGTACAAACAGATCAACCACACATCATTGGCAAAATGCCTTCTTTCACACGAAACATACCATAATTTAATTGGACTCCTTAGTTATCTATCACACAAGGTAATCGGTGTGAGTAAACCTGTCGTCCATGATCTTACACACAACCTCTTTAGACTCCTTGAGCTTTTTGATGCTCTTGATGAGCTTCTGGCGCTTCACTGCAATTGATGGAGGTTCCTCCAGCATCCTCTCAATCCCACCACCATGGTTAGGTCCCAGTAGGTCATTCATAATCTCAATCTCCATGTCCTTATTCACAAAGTTTGAAACACTCAGCTGCAAATGCAAAGCCATGATATCAATCAACCTTCTCAGCACAACATTCCAATACGCAGTCATCCGCATTTTCAAGTCGAAAGCTTGAGACAATAGGACATGTGGGTACTTCCTTAGACCTCCAACTTCAACCATCCCAATTCCCTCTACATTTATGTTTATCTTTGGGTCCAAGTATCAGATAATCATGCAAGACCTTTTTTATGAATGTTTCTTGTTCAGTCATGAGCCTATGCCATTCGGATATATATTCCGGATTACATGTATAATCAGTTAGTTTCTCCATTTCCACTATCTCCGTCATCCAATTAATCGACCTTTGTTTCATCTTTTCAATAAGATTATGGCCTGCTCTTCTGGCAGACAATTGAACATGGTAATAGTTTTCTGTATTTCTTATTAACACAGACAAAACCACATCCTCAATATAACTCCAAACCTGCTCAACAAACTCAATAGGTATGCTCGAAATCCCCTTAACTTTACCCTGCAAGACTAAAAGAAAAGCATTGTGCGGAACAAAATTGGGAAGGGTTATACCTTTTGCCTCCTCCAAAATTGCAATCTCCTCCTTTAAGAAATTACTTTTGGGGTCACTCACATTGCACTCGTGAAGCTGATCTGAGCACTTATTGAGCATCTCAACAAGCCTAGCCGTGCAATGCATGTGTTTGTCATCCGGGAACTCATCAAATTCTCCCCTGACAAGAATTTTCTTAAGTGATTCTTTGGATGCTCCAATGATCTGCATAACAGCAGTCATGGCCTCAGCAACAGATGACAGCTTTTTCGGCATTTTGTTGAGGTCTGAAAGGTAAGAATTCAGCTTGTCATTGATCTTCTTGACAATATCAGGCAAGTTTCTAGCTATACTAGCAGCTTGAATTTGGACCAACTTGTCAGCCAAAACCTGAATCCCAACCATAGACTTATCAATCTTCGAAAGAAAAGGATCAGTTTCAAATAATCGATCCTCAATACTCCTCGCCTCCTCATACTCTTCATCTCGAATCCGGTTCCTTACACAGACATAGCCAAGACCAATATGCACATCATCAGCTGTAACCTTCTCCAGCAGTCCCTCTGGTGCCATATCAACCTTTGTAACCACAGCCAGAGTCCTCTCACCAGTTTTGTCCACACTCCGCGACATACTAATTGACTCACATGTGCTAAAATCAGTAGAAGCAGATAAAACATTCAAAATGATGCTCTCATCTGGTTTTATGTACTTCATGATCATATCTTTGATCTGATCAGCGATATTCAAAGGCTGGCCACGAACTGGAACCCTAGTGATTCCAGGGAGGTCAACCATGGTCAAATCAGGCACACCATTCTTCTTCACCAACAAGGTCAATGGGGTGTCTGAAATTCCCTTACAGTCCCCAGCAATCAGATTGGTGGCATTCACAATGTCCTCAGAAATATTGTCCTCATCAGTGTGCTCAACTCTGCCATTGTACTCCAGTGAAAGCTCTGGTTCAGGATCAGAGTGGTGCTGAAGCCTCATTATGAGAGGAACCCTTGTGCAGATTCCCCATCCACGTGGAAGGCTGATGCTGGCAAGGGACTCAAGAACACTGGATTTGCCAGATGACTGGTCTCCCACAACAACAATGGTGGGCAGCTGTATGCCTTCCTCCATAACCATGAGGTTGCGGAGCTTGTCAATGGCATCAAGCATGGGGCGGATTCTCTCATTGTAGGAGGAGACAATTGGTGGGTTTTGGACAAGTACCAGTGCGTTTGATGAGGTTGGTGAAAAGCCTTCTTGATCATCTTGTAAAATGGATGAGCTTGACGATCTGCTTCCTGAATCAGTTTGAGTTCTCTTTCCTCCCATTTTCTGAGAGTAAGACATAATTGAAAGACAAAAAAAAACAAAGAAGAAGGGGACCTCTGCTCTCCAACGATGGTAGCTAGTTTCTTGCAGGTAAAGTCAAACCTCACCTCTGCCTAACAGAGAAAGACTGGTAAATCATAGAAAAACAAGGGAAAAAAAGGAGCAAGACACAAGGACATGAACATGACATCATGATAAATACGTTTCAAGAAACATATAATTCAATCAATTTTTTTTGTTTAAAGAACCAAACAAAAAAGTATTCTTTAGTAAAAGGTATAGTGTTGTACGACGCACTCAGTTGATTAAGACCAAAACTAGACAGTACAATAATTTTTCCACTAAACGAAATATATAGTCTTGTTGTAAAATGAACTGGAATATGCGAGAATATTAAGTTGCATGTAAAGTAAATAAGGCACAATATTTTAACGAGGTTCGATCATGTCTACATCCTCGGAGAGCAGCAGTAGTAACCTTTCCACTATGTAAAATAATAGGGCTACAACTTCAGTGTTTACAATATTTGTGACTCACTGATTTTTCTCTCTTGGAGAATTTCTCTCTTCTCTCTTTTTCTCTCCTTTCACTTCCCTTCTTTCTTCCTTCTCTTCTTTCTTCCTGAGTTCTCTTCTCCGTTGGTTTTCTGTGTGTCTTTGCAAGTAGTAAGGATGCCTATTTATAGGCAAAGAAAAGGGAGGCATCATGATGCTTCTTTCCAACATGTGGGCTTGGTCTTCACTAACTTTACAACACTCCCCCTTGGAGACCACTAGTAACATGTTGGTTATTTAATTAAGTCTTGCTAGAAGAATGCCTAGTGAAGTAGGAAACTGGTTGAAAGAAGAATAGTACAGAAATTAGTGTAACATACTTCTAGATTCTCCCCATGATGAATATCTCCCCCTGAAATCTTCATGACTAACTTTCTGGAGGAAAAATCTTTCGGAGTGAGTGGAGGATGTTACCATAAAAAATTACTTAGTTGAGTAAATAAATATACTTCCAATGAGCTATCTCTATGTAAATCCCAGAGTTCGCGAATCAAACAAAAACCTGGGCTATTTGTAAGTTCACTTGAAAAGAATATGCTTGTATATTATTTTATGCGGAGATGGCATCAAATATGTCTCACATCATCCCAAAGTAGTTGTGATGGAGCTGAGCTCTATCTGGAAAATACAATGTCTGGTCTAGTATATTTCCGAAAAATCATTTAAGTGCCTAACGTTTAATCCACATAAAAATGCTTCAATACTTTCTTAGTATAAGCAAGAATCTTGTTGGTATAATGCTCGATCTTCGGGCCGAGACAAATATTTCTTGAACTTTTCAAGAGTTTTAATTAATTATCAACTCTTCAGAAGTTTTAATTAATTATCAACTCTTCAGGAGTTGTAATGTATTGCGATCATATCATAATTAATGCACTCATTGAGGCAATATATACATATTAATATTGAGTACAAAATTTGTGCTCCAAGCACATGTCCTTCAGAGACTTGCTTCATGCAATTACAATCCTTCAGGGATTTTATTTAAGGGATTACACTTTATAACACATTATATAGCTTTATATCCAGCTATTTGTCCTGCTTGTACACCTTTAGGGAATCGCTTCTAGCGATATGCATAACCCTTAAAGATAACATGTTGGTCTCCGTAAATGTACAATAAGAAGGCACAATTGCATCTATAAATATGGAGAACCTCAATATTCATTGTTTCTACCAGAAAAATTGTGTCATATAAAGTGAGTATATTCCTCTTTATTCCGAAAACCCATGTATAACCTTCAGTGTTAACATCTTTTGGGGTTCATGCTATGGGTTTGTTCTTTCACGTTCATTCTCATCCATAATGGAATTGCCTCTTTCCATTTTTGGCCAATGATATTGTCGACATTTAATAATAGAACATGGTTCCAATCAACACAACCCATTGATGATTAGCTACTCCAAAATCAAAAATTGTCATTCATCATTTCATGATCCCACTATTCTCATGTGCATGCGCATGCATTAATTATAGCATTTCTTTGCTTTTGCTACCCAAGCCACTCAAGAGGGCTTTTATTGTCTCTTTCTAGACAGACATCTCTTATAAGATGAATTATGTGAGAATGTGGATCTTAACCTCCAATGGAGCATTATTTTATAGTAGGGAGTGGATAATCTACATTCAGAGAGTTGGAACATTTAGAACCCATATATCTTTTATGTTGTAGGCATGCACAGATCAATACATACATGTCAATTAATTGTCCTTCTGGGACTTTAAACCATATAATTTACTACGCATTAGTCGTGCACCATATTAATATTGACATGTTAATGGATTGTCCCTCCGGGACTTCAATCCATATCATTTGTCACGAAATCGGTGTGCATCATATTGATCACTGCTATACTCATGTTCTGTTCTTATGAGATTTTAATCTATGCAGTGTATTATCAATGTATCCAACTTGCAATCTGTGAAATTTGCATTAATAATTCATGAATACATATCAGAATGATACAAGCCATTCTTATGGAATGGTCATAATACAAGTCATTCTCCTGGAACGATCTATAATGCAAGTCATTCTTCTAGAATGGTCCTTTGCATGGCGTTCTTCTGGAATGGTCATATCTCCCCATTTGGTTACCTTTAAGGATGTCGTACAAAATATCAAAAGAAGAGTACAAGCATGAAATAACACAAGTATTTCTTACATCCTTAGGTGGGAGAAACTTTGCTCAAATATCATTCAAGCTCGTATCAGCTCAGTAAATACAATGTAATGCCTGATGATCTAGTTATATCCTGCAAGAGCAAAAATCACAATTCTTAAAAACAAAACACAGTGTTAGGTTCACTACATGGATTTGTTCTTTAGATCTTCGTTCTAAAGAAACAAAATTCCTTATGAACAGAGAGTTGTAAAACGAAAGAAAAGATACAAAGAATTTTGATATTGATTGCAAGGTAGGTAAGAAATCAGGGAAGGAAACTAGTGAGGTAACATACAACAAACTCTCATTTCTCCTAGCTTAGAAGAACTTTAGGAGATTAGAGCATGTGGTCGTCCTTACAATTCCCTGATCTCAATGAAACGTGATCAGGGATAATCTTGCTTCCTGAATAGATGATCAGAGATAGTCTCGCTTCTCAAGTACATCGAGCGCTCACTAATAGGAAAAACAAGTGGATATTGCATCATTAGATATGGAGAAAACTGGATGTATTTTGTAAAGAAAATTTCTTTAGTAACATATTTATACACAAATTAGAGGAACTATTTGATCCGGTAAATCTCAAATTAACTACAGAAAATTGTGAGGTTCTCGAGATACTTTTGAAAAAGTAACTCTGTGAAATCAGCAAAGCAAGATCGGCTTTGACGAAAATAATCCTTGAAACCCTTAAAGTGCCGACAGACATTAATGGAGGCCGTGTGAAGTTTTGGAATCTGGAAGAGAAAAAGAGAATATAGGGATCCGAGAAAATATTGGGATCCTGGATACGGTGCCACATTTCCATCTATAGATATTGCCTCTGTAAAGCCTAATTGGAATAACTGCGTTTCAACTCAACTTCCTTCCATTTTTTGAAAATTCAACTTTTCTAAGACTTTCCTCGAAACCTTCTTAAAATGGCTTCCTCTTCTTCTCACCCAAATTATTTTGATTTAAATGTTGCTCCCCAAACAACCCGTGACGCCAAAGTCTGGCGTCAATCCCTTGTATCCCAAAATCGTCATCTCACGGTTAATGATTCTGTGATGATATGAATGATACAACTGTTGTCATAGTAGCTAGGAATTTCTTTACTCCTATAGATGAAATATTGTTAACAGAAAGGTCTGACAAATAGGCTATTGATGACTTAATAGCTTTTAGTATCCAGAGTGCTGCTTCTGTTTTTAACATGGCTGATCGTTTGCGTGCCAGAGCAAACGAGATTCAAGAGCTGAACACTGAAAATTCGTCTCTTCGGAGAATGCTTCATTAATCTCAACAAGAGGTTGAGAAACTTAAAGAGGAAAATAAGGCCTTGTTGAAATTGGTGAGTTCATACTCCATTGATACGCGAACAAGGCTTGACATGCTGCAGATTTCCAATGAAAAGATTTTGGGAGACCACGAGATGCTCCTAGCTAAGCTTAAGAGGCGCCGTCCTCTTTCTTCTGAGGCTTCCAGAACATAATATAATTTATAAATTTTACAGAGTCTGCTCCTTCCTTGCAGGTGAAAAGAATATTTCTGTTGTATGCTCCCTTCCTGTTATAATAATTGGGTACATTCTTAAACTTGCACTAGTGGTTTTCATGTCTTTTTAAAATGACGGTTTGGAACATTGTGCCTTATAGGTTCAAATAACCACATCAAATCTCTCAAATTACATATTTTCATGCATGTGAGTCCGGAACTTCTAGTCCAGGTTAAACACGACTTGAAAATTTATTTGCCTTTCTCAAATGGGCATGAAATATAAATTGAGTAAAAGCCATGATAATATTGCAATATAGTAGTGAAGAGCATTAACTACTATATACCCAAAACTTTAGGTTCGGGATCTCTCATATATTTGGATCCATGGGCTTTAGGCCCAGTTCATATAATATAACAAAATATGTGGGGAGCCTCAATCATCCTTTGAGGTTTACCCTGATATTATCCATTTCATAGTGTATTCTTAACAACCAAAATTCACAAAATATATTTCTTCCTTGAGGTGTCGATTATAACATAATCGAACTTTATTAAATTCATCATTTTCTTATGCCAAAGAAATATGTTGTGTACCACAATTTGCAATAATACCTCAAGGGTTATCCATTTAATTGTTGGAACTTCAGGTTCTCAATATTGTCAGATTTGAACTTCAGACCAAAATCGCATATTTTCATGGAATGGACATTTTTATAATTTCCCATACATATTTTGAGACTTCAAGCCTTTACATAATTGTCCATGTTTTGAGGAGCTTCTAGCTACTCATTTTATTGCTCATCCATGAGTTTAAGGAACTGCAGGTTCCCTTTCGTATACACTGACGGTTTAACCAAATTGTTAAAATTTATGTATACGTCACTATTCATGTATACGGTACTATTCATCAAGTCATGAATACGTGTCTATTCATGCGTACAATACATTTGTCATACAATTACTATTCATGTGGGCAGCGGCACTATTAACCAATACAGTACTATTACATTATCAAGGAACTCCAAGTCCTTATTTACATGTCAAGGATCAAGGATCTTCAGGTCCAATCTCTTGTTTACAAATATAGTACCAGAGAGACTGTTAGCTCTTATATCATTATCATCATCAAGGATCTTCAGGTCCTGATGTAGTTGTATGATGAGGATCAAGAAACTTTTGGTCCTGATCTCTGTATGCTGTAAAACTCATCATACCACACAATTAATTCATAAAATAAATTGCTTGTAAATAAATTGCTAGTATGGACGATAAACCCACACCATACTTTAAATAAAGGTAAATGTGTGGTAAAATAAATTCATAAATTAAATTGCTTGCTGTATGGATGTTAATTCTGCACTATACTTTAAATAAAATGTGCGGTAAAATAAATTCATAAATTAAATTGCTTGTTGTATGGACGTTAATTCTGCACCATACTTTAAATAATAAAGTAAATGTGTGATAAAGCAAATGTGCTTGTATGGGCACTAACTCTACACCATACTTTTAAATTCTACTTCATACTTTTAAATAAAAAGTAAAGACAGTTGTGTGGACAATAAACCCGCGCCACACTTTTTAAATAAATACTGTTATATGGATAATAAACCTACACCATATAGTAAAAAAAATAAATGTGGGGATAAAACCACCACCGAATATGTATATAGGTATATATATACATAAAGTATATAAGTGATTGTTAAAATATATAATATATCATATACTAATATATTATTAAACTAATATATAGAAGTATGGCTAGAAAACTTCTAGCAATCATACTAAAAGCTGCAGAAAATTTTTCCACCCCTCTTTTTTTTCGGTGGGTTATGATCAACACCAAGATGCAATAAAATAAGATAATATTATTATACTAATATATATATATATATATAATTAGAAAAGTAGAGAAAATCCTTAGTGCTAGTCTACTAAAGGATATCACGACTATCCTCTACACAAAATTGATGTTCACCTGAAACCAATACAGGCTTCCCACCACACCTTCGAATGGTTAGTAATATAAATAATAGTGCAGCATATAAAATTATATCTGAGAGCTTCTCATGCTGATAATGTGTTTGTAAAATAAATTGGAATATGCGAGAATATTAAGTTGCACGTAAAGTAAATAAGGCACAATATTTAACGAGGTTTGGCTATGCCTACTTCCTCAGAGAGCAGCAGCAGTAACTTTTCCACTATGTAAAATAATAGGGCTACAACTTCAATGTTTACAACATCTATGACTCACTGATTTTTCTCTCTCGGAGAATTTCTCTCTGCTCTCTTTTTCTCTCCTCTCACTCCCCCTTTTTCTTCCTTCTCTTCTTTCTTCCTGGGTTCTCTTCTCCGTTGGTTTTCTGTATGTGTTTGCAAGTAGTAAGGATGCCTATTTATAGGCAAATAAAAGGGAGGCATCATGATGCTTCTTTCCAACATGTGGACTTGGTCTCCACTAACTTTACAACAAGTCTTCATTTGTCAAATGAGTTTTAAATATATTTTTTTTGTTGTCAAATGAATTTCTCCACATGAATTATTGGTGTAATTATACATGTTATGCACGTAGGAAGGTGTTGATTGTATCAAATATTTTTTTTCATTTTTTAAACCAACTGCGATAGGATATTAATAATAAACGGCCAATACAAATAGAGTTTGACATTTACAAAAACAAAAAATAGAGTTAGACAAAATCCGAGAGAATTAAGCGAGCCAATCAACATGTAACCTTGGAGAAGATAGTAGAGAAGAATTCATAGGGAGAAGGAGAAGAAGAAGAAAATAATGTCGTCGGATTTTTGATGTGAACGTGTGTGTTCTTTTTCCCTGGCTGTATAATTAAGCATGTATTATCTAAACCGGGGTGTGTGGATTGTATTAATTAGTCGGGTAAAGAGAGTATTAAAAGCCCAACCCATTTAAAATAGTCAGGTAATTAAATAATACAAGTTGACACCAAATACCTGATATAGACTATTTACTCCTATCCAAAGTCTAATACGGTGTACCAAACGAGCCCATAAGGACTTGGTTCCTCCCACTATGAATGATTAGGATGTTCAAATTCTCATGCTAATGTAATCACTGATTGATCCACATGTAAAATTACTTGATACAATAAATTCATCACCAATCATTGCATATACTATGGTTTTTTAGTAGTGTAAGGCCATCTCCAACCCATGAGGCCAAACCCAAAATATCCCAAAATATAGCCCAAAACCTCTCCCGACCCAAGAACATTAAGGGGCCAAAGTTTAGGAAAACCTAAACTTGGGGCCAAATAGCAGTCCAACTATTGCCTGGACCCAAAAAATTTCAATGGAGCCCACCTACAACTAGCAAAGTCCTTGTGCAAGAAATTAGATTGGGGCCCCCGCTGCTGCACTTTTCTGTTGCCTGACATAGCAGTTTGCCACGTGTCGCATCTAGATTATGTTGCCGTTGGAATCCAACAGCAACAATTTAAATTTCATTTTTTAAAAAATTCTAATAGTAACTTAAATCAACAATCTAGATTAAATCTAAGTTATTTTAAAAGTAAAAAAAAAGATCCAACAGCTAAAATTTAAATCTAACAGTCAAAATAATATTTTAAATTAATCTAAATTAGATCCAACTCCAAAACTCACTCCAAACTCTATAAATACTCACCCATTTCTCAATTAATCTACCAAAAACATTTTTTATATTTCTTAATTTATTTTTCCTTTGTCAATTTCATCAATCTCCTTTCATTCTCATACTTTTCATATTATTTCAAGTATGTCATCTTCTTCATTCTCATACTTTTCATATCATTTCAAGCTTTCAATGGATAACCGTGGCAATGCCATCTTTTCCTTTATGTTTGATGATGATTCAGATGATGAGGAAGAACATCAGAGAGTGAGACAAGCCATTCTCCACCATACTTCACTAAAGAATGAAGCCACCAAACATGGTGGGTCGATAGTCGGTCGTGAGTACAAGAATCGTGAGAGGGAAGATCGTCATCGCAATCTCATGTCCGACTACTTCGTTGAAAGGCCACATTTTAATACTACGAACTTTCGTAGGCGGTTCTGAATGCGGAAAGGGTTGTTTTACCGCATCTTTTATGATGTTGTCAACTGTGAGCCATACTTTTGCCATAAAAAAAGATGGGCTCGGTCGACAAGGGTATCCCTTGAGCAAAGTTTAACCGCTGGCTTTCGTATGCTCGCATGGGGATGCTCGGCTGATGCGATAGACGAGTATTGTAGATTGGGTGAAATCACAGCTCTTGAATCACTCTGTAAGTTTTGTTGTGTTGTTGAAGCCGTGTATGGACAATGGTACCTTATGTCTCTAAATCCAGCTGACCTTTATAGGCTATTGCACAAGGCCAGTTTACCAGTCACAAAAAAAAAACCCCCCACTGTTATGCTAGAGGCCGTGGCCTCGTATGACACATGGATATGGCATGCCTTTTTTGGAGCCACTGGATCCAACAATTATATCAACATTTTAGCTCGTTCTCCATTGTTTGATGATGTGGTACATGGAGTGGCTCCTCATGTTGAATATATTGTCAATGGAAATCAACACCATTAAGGCTACTGTGGGAGCGATTTTTGTCCCACAAGAATATTCGCCTAAGATACCTTTGTCTTCTTCGCTTCTCTTTCTCCCTGCAAAACAAATCAGAGTAAAAGGACCACACCTGAGGTGTGTTGGCCAAAGGCCCTCCGATGCCTAAGTTAGGTTGGGTGTTTGTAGGAAAACCGGGTGGCCGGAGCCTTGTATGAGAGAAAGAAAGAGTATGGCGGCTAGGGTTTGTGAGGGATAATTTCTGCAGAGTTTCAGTAGGAATTTAGACGTACCTCAACCGTTATGCGTAGTCATCTATTTATAGGTGGCTCAAAGGCTAAGGTTTCAGAAGAATAATTCCATAGATATGAAGGGATTATTCTTCCCTGATTTGGCGAGGTTGGTGCAATTAGGGATTTGATTTAAATCAAATCCCTAATTATGGAAAGAATCAAATCCCTAATTATGGAAAGAATCAAATACATCCCATTTAAATTAAATAACCTCCCAATTAATTTAGGTAACTCCCAATTAGGTCAAATAATTCCCAAATGGGATTGGCCTAATTATTTAACCTAGGGTGAGATATTTTGCTTCCACAGCTACTATTTGGTAGATGGGATCTACCCCGTTGGGCTACTTTGCTGAAGGCCATCTCTTCTCTTGATTACCCAAAGAAGAGGTTTGTTGCACAAATGCAAGAAGCGTACAGGAAGGATGTTAAAAGAGCATTTGGAATACTACAGGCTCGATGGGCTATTGTTTGGGGCCCTACACTTATGTGGTGCAAGGATAACCTCCACTCAATCATGATGATGTGTATAATTTTGCATAACATGATTGTGGAGGATGAGTACGAATATATTGAAGAGGAATCTAATGATGAGGATGCGTGTCCACAATAATCCATGAGGGCCAGAACAAGACAATTTGAGCTAGAGCCAAGCATTACATACGAGTACCACCAAGATAGGCAGACTCTCTTTGATTACATGATTCGTCATAATAGAGTTCGATCTCCACATGTGCATCAGGGTCTCCGACGTGATTTGATTGATCACCTTTGGAGGAGCTTTGGAGATGGTGAATGAGGTTGACAATTGTTTCAATTCCCCTTTTGTGTTTCAATTATATCTTGTGTGTTTTTTTATGTTGTGTGTTTTCTTTTGGAATAAAATTATATTTGTGAAATTTCAATTTTTTAGGTCAAATTTAAACCATTATTGAACAATTTAATAAAGTTGCGGACTTAAAATTTGAGTCCGGAGCATTGGGAGAAAAAACAGTTTGAGTCCGGGCAAAACCCAAATAGTTACTTTTTGGAGGGGGAAAATTTGGGTTTAGCTCCAAATGGGTTGGAGAAGGCCTTATGATCTGTTTGATTTGTTTTGTGTAATTGATTCTGTAGGACATGGATGTCCTATCCTATAAGTAAGAAACGAAAATCCTACCATGCGCCAGGTGTATGGATGCTCCAATTATATGGGCCATTGGATGAGCTGTTGTGAGATGTGGGGTAATCTACACCATTGATAGTGAGTGACCAGTTAAATGGCTCTCCTGCGACTTCTATCTCTTCGTCTTCTTGGCACGACTCGTGTCTCTCTTCTTCTTGGCAAGATCAGTCTTTTTTCCATGGTTGCTCTCTCTTCTTCAGTTGGGCTTGTTAAGATGAAGGTTTGATTGTTCAAGAATAGAAGAAAGGAAGGGAAGAGAGAGAGAACAGCCGACGTCAAGTTTTGCAGAGCTGAGAACGGTGGTTTCCAGCCACCACCTGGGTACGAAATTGTTCACCTGCTCTTCCTCTTCTCTCTTGGCGGCTGGCTCTTTCTCTCAATACCTCGCTCTATCTCTTCACTGGCTAGCTCTGTCTCATGCTCTCTCTCCATCCTCTCCCTCATCTTCTCTTCCACCACTCTATAGGTAACAATTCTCGTTCTATTAGTATTATGTTCTACAATTTTTGATTATGGGTTAATTTATTTGGGCAAATTATTATCTTTTTTGTAATTTTTTTTTTTAATTTCTATATAAATGAGGGCATATTTTCTGAAGTTGTTTTCTCGATTTTTAGTTGAAAGTGGAGTTTGTTCTTGTTTTATGAATTCTTTTTTCAATTATCTTTTCCATCCTGAATTCATATTCACTAGTGTGCAATACACTGGTGGGTTCATATTTTGTTGAGTTGTATTCTTATCGATTATAGTCCTGTCATTTCTAGAAATAGCATTGTGATGTTCAATACGGATTTTCTTTTGATGAAAGATCTACCTCTTTTGGTTTCTACGGCTATGCATAGTGGCAGTTAAGCCTCTTATTACAGTGGATGAAAGATCATAGTTATTCATAAATGAAGTAGAAATACAAAGTCTTATGCACTAGACAAGACCAAGTTATCTTCCCCTCCCCCCTCCTCCCCCCCCAAAGAATATATGGCCTTATGGCCCTAGTTCTAAGTTTTTACATACAAGGGGCTTCAATATATGCTTATCAGTTACTGTTATAATTGAACATGAAAGCGCCATTTGCCAAGGATTCAAGAGAGAGACAATTATGGATAATAATATTCATTCATGTGTTGGTCGAAAAATTACAGATTTCTTTCAATCTCAGTTATTGGTTGCATTCTCTGTTATGTTAAAGATCTAAAAAAAGGATTTTGCAACTATGGCCTATAAGATTTTGCATTCTCTGTCATGTCAAATTTGATTTATATTGGGTTCTATTTCTATAGTTTTTGGTATGATTCTTATTATTTTTTCTTTACCGGTTTCGTACTTTTCTCAGGCGTTTCGCTTGTGAAGTATGGGGAAGAAGCCCTCGACCAAGAAGTCAACTTCCCAGAAATGCTGAGAAGGCAAAGTTGTAACTACTTGGGTGACGCCAAACAAGGCGGCAAAGGGAAAAAAACAACCGTTCTATTGTAACCACTGAGCAGGGGGAAAGTTCCACAATATACCACAAAACCCATGCGGCCCTTTGTTTGCCTTGAGGCGATATGTACACAAGAACCAAAACTCATATGATCCCGTGCTACACGTCAATGTCACTGACCATTTATCTCACAGGGCACATATCCAATTGCATTTCAAGTTTGCGCAATTGTATTTCACATATGCAATTACCTGTAACTATCTGGCAATTGGATGTTTCATTAATCCAATTACATTTAAAGTTTGCACAATTGGATTTCACATATGCAATTACTTGGTTGTTGTATGGCAATTGGATGAAATAAAAATATACAATTACCTGCCACAAAGTTTGCCCTGTTCTAGATAGATGTAGTCTTATGCTATATTAATTTTTTTATTTATGGCAATGCAATGTTCACCATAGAATTTTGGGTAATGCTGCTCTTCGATAAAGAATATCATATCTGGAAGTAGAATAACACTCGCCTTTTCTGCTCTTTTCTTTTAGCTTTGTTTAGTTTTTTTTTCTTTTAGGCTACTTGCTTAAGCAAACTCTGTGTAAATTGTGTGTCTGAAAATATGATACAACAGTGCTTCAAAAAAATCCGATAGAGCAGTACTTAAAGACACTCATTTTATGTCTTTACTATCTTCACAAATCTTCTTCTTTAAAATTTAAAATAAAAACTTCTCAACTCTTCTTCATTACTCCTCAAGTTTTTCACTCACATCATCTCTTAGATCATATGGCCGGTCACATCTTTTTCTAAAACAAATAGAAGCTGCTAAACAGTTTTATAATTTAGTGTCAGTTTTAATCTCATATGTATATGTTATTTAAAGTATTTCTTAATTTCTTTTGGTTGGGAATATGTAGGAGGCTTAAAATCATCTCAAAGTTTGCAGTTCATTGATCAATGTACCAAAAGATAGTGCTGGATATTTGACAAATATGAGATGCAAGTCAATTGAGCACATTAAGGGAAGCAGCGGAAACTACAAATATGGTCTTCTATGTGTCGGTTGTGACACTTGGAGTACTAGTATACTCCCTTTTTTATTGTTAACAAAAAAAAATTAGACATCGAGATAAGCACGTAAATTGCATTTACAGTTTGCAATTGTACCGTAGAGTTGTATTTTGAGATTAGTGATGCATATTGTTATGTTATTGACACCCTTTTCAATTTTGAGAATGTAAATACAATATGTGATTTGTCAATGCAATTGACAAACAGGTAGTGTCATTTGCATTCCAGTGGTGCAATTGACAAACAAAGCAGTTCCATTTGCATTCCAGTCGTGCATTTGACAAACAAAGTAGTTCCATTTGTAAATGCAATTAATGTGTTAATCAATAACATACACACAAGTTTTACAAATCGATGCTTTGTATTGTTGTTATCATGACCAAAAAATAAAAATTAATAATTCATGCTTTATATTGACAAGTATTTGAATGAAAATACGGATCGACACATAAATGAAGTTACGAAGCATTATATTTTCACATGTTAAGTATTATGCCATTGCTAAATTAATAAGCATGCCATCGTGATTCACATCAAGTTGCATATTTTGCTTTCGCTCAGGCACGTCAAGTTTGTAATTGATGAACATGCACCACTTAATTGTCATTCCAATTTGTGAAAACTGAATGCCTAATTGGAAATTGCCAAACGACCTATGCGAAAGGTAAATTAGGCTATTGAAACATTATGTATTAGAGTAAACCTCAACATTGTAAATTATAATAAAGATGCGAAATCTCGTAAATGAGAACCAAAATCTTGCAATCTATGAGATTATGGATACAATTTACAAGTTTATGGAATCTTCATTTCCAAAATACTGTAACATAAGTCTTTAATGTTGTAAACACTTGTTTTACAAGAATAAGGAACAATTTTACTTTTTCAAGGTTCAACATTATCTTAATATTGTAATTGAGATCCTTCTCGTTGTAAATTAGGCCATTACATTATTATGGATTAAAGTGAACCTTATCTTGTAATCACCATGTGAAATCTCATAAATTGGAACCCAAATCTCGTAACCTACAAGATCAAGGATATGCTTTACAATATTATGGAATGCTCATGTCCCAAGCACTGTAAAATGAGTCTTTAATGTTGTAAACCCTTGTTTTTACAAGATTAGAGATAAACTTTATAATGTTATGGAACTCTCATGTCCCAAATACTGTAAAATGAGTCATTAATGCTGTAAATCCTTGTTTTTACAACAATAAGGAACACACTTTTACGATGTTATGGTACCCTTGGTCCTTAAACTTTTAACAAAATTGTTTGCTAGAATAAGGACCCATTTTACATTGCTAAGGTCCACCATTACCAATCCTTATAATGTGGATTCATATCCTAGTAAACATATGATTTACAATATTATGGATTGGGTGAACCCTAATGTTGTAATCCAGGAGCAAAACCTTATAAATTGTTATCAAAAACTTGAAAGTTACGAGTTTATGGATTCTCTTTACGATGTTATGGTGCCATCAGTCCTTAATCTTGTAAAGCATTGTTTACTAGAATAATGACCCATTTTACAACGCTAGGGTCCACCATTACCAATTCCTTGTAATATGGATACATATCCTAGTAAACATATGATTTACAACATTATGGATTGGGTGAACCCTAACTTTATAATTGAGAAGCAAAACCTTGTAAATTGTTACCAAAAACTTGTAAGTTATGAGTTTAGGGATTCTCTTTACGACGTTATGGTACCCTCAGTCCTTAATCTTGTAAAGCATTGTTTACTTGAATAATGACCCATTTTACATCGCTAAGGTCCACCATTACCAATTCCTTGTCAAAGTGTGATTTACAAGATTATGGATTGGGTGAATCCTAATGTTGTAATCCAGGAACAAGTCCCTATAAATTGTTAACAAAAACTTGTAAGTTACAAGTTTAGGGATTCTCTTTACGATGTTATGGTACCATTGGTCCTTAATCTAGTACACCATTGTTTATTAGAATAAGGACCCAAATTACATCCCTAAGGTCCACCATTACCAATTCCTTGTAATATGGATCCATATCTTTGTAAACATATGATTTACAACATTATGGATTGGGTGAACCCTAACATTGTAATTCAAGTGCAAAACCTTGTGAACTGCTACCCAAAACTTATAAGTTACGGGTTTAATGATTCTCTTTACAACGCTATGGTACCCTCTGTCCCTAATCTTGTAAATCCTTGTTTTTACAAGAATAAGGAATAATTTTACTTCCTTAATATTACACACTTTTACATTTTTAGGATTCAATTAACGAAGGAGAACCCTTATAGATAAGGAATACAAAATTGACATCGTATTAAATTTAAAATTAAAATTAAAATTATCTTAACAAAACAAAACAAACAAAAAAAAACCATTTGTAAAAGAAATAATAATAATAATAATAATAATAATAATAATAATAAAGGCTTGCTCTAGGGCTATGTTATGATGCGAATTTGAAAAACTGCTCTCATGTGTATTAACATTAGATTAATTTTCTTTGTTGCCTAGTCTATCATTGGGCTATCATGGATTATTCTAGTTAAGAAAACGTATTTACTTATAACATTAATATATATTTATTTATTTATTTATTTCTTCAAAACAATACAGCTTCCCTCAAAGGATTGATGCTTTTGATGTCATATTAGTGTCTTTGGTTGTATTGTTGAATTTTATCTAATGAAGTTTCTCTTTAATTAAAAATAAAAATAAACCCACAATCCTACAAAGATAAGAATTTGATTTTCTTTACTTTTACTTGCAATGGTATAGTTCAATAACTTCATATCAATAGTTATATCTAGGGGTGGGTATCGAGACCGGAAAACTGTACACCTAGCCATACCGGATGGGAAAAATAAAATAAAAAAATCGGTTGACTAAAAAGTCAACAAACTGGCATCGAACTAGATCGGACCAATTCAAACTGGTTTCTGTTTTGGTTTCACACCTAACCAAACCGACCAAACTAGTTCTATAAATTTTTTTTTACAAAATTATTTAAATCCAATACTACCTTCTTAATCTTATAACTAATATTTCCCAAAAGCCAACTTCAAAACATCACTCTTTTCTAGGCCTAATATCTGTCTTTGCATGAAATTTGATCATTTATAAATTTTCAAGCCCAAAAAATAAAATTTTAGTCAAGATTTGAATTTTAAAAAAAATAATTTGAAATAATAATAATAATCCAGTCCAAAACCAAAAACACTTGAAACCGAACTGAAACCAGTTCAAACCAAATCTCTATTGCAATTACATCTTGTTAAGTACTTTACCAAATGGAGAGAAGCTGAAACCGTCTATTGCAAGTGCAATAAAGGGTTCATCATATAGCACCCTCTATTGCAATTGCATCTATTGCAATTGTTGATACTCCTTCTCGGAGAGTCAACTTAGATGGAGAAGTGTGGGATCCTCAACATGGCAGGCGGAGTACAAATCTTTGGGATGAAGGGACCCTTTTGAAGATAATGAAGAAGAAGCAATCATCAAGCTTTAGACACTGGTGTGGTACCTGCCGAAGGCTCTCTGATGCTAACTCAACGAATGTGGGATGTGTAGTAATTTTGGTAGTGTAACAGTATAGGTAAAAAGTAGTTTACCCTTTCACCTAGGCACTATTCCTGTTTTATAGGAAAGTGAAAGTGGGAGTTTGTCCAAAGTTTCAATATGAGACTTTGTACAAGTTGCTACAGTAACGATACGTGTCCATGGTTCTCGGTAATTGCCTTCGGCAGGCAATTACTGCACCAATAGAGGGTGTTTCTGGTAGCTGAGGATATGAGGTCATTGGTGCCTGAGTTCTCTAATAAGTGCTTCTACCTTTGGTAGGCCATGGGTTCTGTTTGCTTGTTGGTCCTCTAAGGCTAGGCAAGCTCAGTTGATTATGGCGTAAGTGGCAAAGCTCATGTACATGTTGCCACCACTTCTGTGATTGACGTCACCACTAGGCACGGCCACCTTACCACTACTCCTGCTTCGGCCGTGATAGCGATCTCAAGCACTCTAACACCTCTTGCACCTATGCCACCTCTAGGTAACTTTGGCAGGGCTTTCCATTCTCATGATACACGCAATACAGGTTGGATTATTGATTCTGGAGCTACTGACCATATGACGTATAATTCTGCTTTTCTCTACTACTCTTCCGCCTAAAGATGTCAAACGGGCGGGGCTGGGTCACCCTATTTAAACTCATCCCTTTAACCTATTCGTGCCAAGCTGGACCGGCCCATTTAATTTATTGGGTCATGTTGTGCTTGCCCATTTAGTAAAACCATTAATCCCAGACCGGCCCAAAGTCCAAGTCCACATTGAAACGGGCCAGACTAAGATTGTGCCCGTGCTCTTGCTCAGGCAGTACTCGGGCCTAAGAACTAGCCCAACATTTTCAAAATTTGACATATGATCCAATGTAGTTTAAGTTTTAAATTTTACAATCCAATTTGATAAAGCTAAGGCTAAAATCCAGTCCAATCATGTTGATGATTTTAACATTTTGATTTAAATGAATTGGATGATCCACTGTTTAATACAGGGAAAACGAATTGAAATGTAAAAGAAATTATAATCAAATCAAATACAATCACAAATAATAAGAAAAATATATGGGAAATGAACATTTAATATTGGCACAGTCCTATGACTCTTCCACACTTATGCATCAGTGTACGTATTTATTCAAATTCTTTCATTTGCACGACTCACTATTTCAAATTGTAGGCTTTACTGCTTTGAGTTTGAGTCCAACTCTCCAACTTTAAGTCTGTTCGTTAAGTCATTTAAGGCTGGAATGTACGACGAGATCGGTACGTCATTGGTCATTGCATCACTTTTTTATTTTACTTTAATTACTCAAGTTTTTAATTGCCGTTCCAACTTGGTAGTGAAAAAAATGCAACAGATGCCCATCCCAAGGCTTCATGCTATGCCAAGCACGTCCTACTAATATTTGTGCTCATGTCGTGCTTTGTCTCATTTAAACGGGATGGGCTCGGGTCGTGTTGGGTCAGCCCGTCTTGTTTGACACATCTACTTCCGCCTCATCATGATCATGTTCTAACTGCTAATAATGATGCTACTCATGTCACGGGAGCTAGTTCTGTACTCTTGACACCTGCTTTACCATTGGACAAAGTGTTACTGGTTCCATATTTGTCTAGTGATTTATTATCTATGCCGCAAGTTACTAGGTAGCTAAACTACATTGTACTGATGTATCCGTCTTTTGTATTACTACAAAATATCAAGATTCGGGAATCTTTGGTCTTGGTACTAAAAATGGGGGGCTTTATATATAGATGACGTGGCAACTAGTCGAGTTCTTCGTGCTAGTAGCACCAAAACTTCTCAGCATCACCGGATTTGGTTGCTACATTGCCGATTTGATCATGCATCCTTTGGATATTTACAACATTTATTCCCTGCATTATTTAATGGTGTCAACGACTCTGCTTTCCAATGTCAGACTTGTATTTTCGCTAAGAGTCATCTGGTATCCTACCCTCCGAGTTGTAATAAACGGCTTATGCCATTTGATATAGTTCATTATGATGTTTGGGGACCTTCCCCTATTTCTACAGCCTTGGGAATTCACTAGTTTGTGTTATATGTGGATGATTGCACTGGTATAATGTGGTTATATGAGATGAAAACTAAAAGTGATGTGGTCGACATCTTTCAGCATTTCTATCGAATGATTCAGACATAATTTATGCTCCTTATCAAGGTTTTTCAATATGATAATGGTGGAGAATTTGTTAATTTGGAGTTATCCCGTTTTTCACACTAAGGGTGTACTCTATGAGACTACTTGCCCTCAAACACCATAATAGAATGAGGTCGCTAAACGTAAAAATGGGGAGATCATTCCTGCTACCCATGCTCTGTTGCTTGGTGCGTCAGTTCTAAAGCGGTTCTGGATTGATGCTATTACATATGCAGTCTATCTCTTGAATCGTCTATCTTCATGAGTTCTAAATTTCCGAACTCTTATACAGATATTGACTTATCATATCTCTGTCTCTTTTATATTGACTTTGTCTCCAAAGGTGTTTGGTTGTGTTCATTTATGTTCACCTCCATCAAAATCAAAGAAGTAAGCTAGACACTTGTGCTCTTCGTTGTATCTTTATAGGGTTCTCTCTTGATCAGAAAGGCTACCGGTGTTATCATCCTGCTACCTGATTTCTATATTTTCTATGGATGTTACCTTCATTAAGGATGAGATGTTCTTCCCTGATACATCTTCAAGGGAAGACTAGTAGTGAAGGACATAACTGACTAGATTTACAAGGGGGACTGGTATTGGATGGTTTGATACAAGGGGAGACCCGGCTGAACCTGCTGAACATGCTACACCAGTTGAACCTACTATTTTAATTGATGCCGCTGCTGTCACTAAACTTATTGCCCCTCCCCCCTAAAGCTTCTCTAATAATACCCAATCAAACTCCCATGGATATTCCTAAGGTAAATACTTCTATTCATACTGCTGATAATTCCTATGTTCTACCGATTAGAGGGAATCGTGAGGTTCCACCTAATCGTTACTCACCAGAACGCAAAGTAAGATATGTTATTGCCCATTATGTGTATGATCACAGGTTATCTCCAAAGTGCAAAGAGTTTTTTACCATAATGGATAGTATTAAAATTCCAACTCGTGTTGATGAGACATTTAAGGATCCAAAGTGGGTTGAAACCATGAATATTGAAATGGAGGCGTTACAGAAAAATAATACATGGGGCATTGGTGATCAACCAAAGGGAGCCTGTAGGATGCAGATGGGTGTTCACAGTTAAATGTAATGCATATGGTATTGTCGAGAGGTACAAGGCAAGATTAGTAGTTAAAAGGTTCACTCAGACATATGAAGTGTATTATCCTGATACTTTTGCACCTATGGCTAAGATGAATACTGTCAGAGTTTTGCTATCCTTAGCAGTAAACTTAGATTGGACCCTGAGGCAATTTGATCTAAAAACAAATTGTATTCTTACATGGTGAATTAGAAGAAGAAGTGTACATGAGTCTTCCATCAGGGTATAGCGATACTGGTGACGCGGTGAACGTGTGCAGCTTAAAAAAGACGTTGCATGGGTTAAAGCAGTCTCCTCTGGCATGGTTTGGCATAATTACTGCAGCTATGAAGAAATTTGGTTACCAACAGGCCAATACTGATCCTATTCTATTCATTAAACACGGGGCTAATAAGGTGACTTCGTTGATTATTTATGTTGATGATATAATTGTGACTAGTGATGTTACTGTAGAAATCGAGGAACTGCAGAAGCATTTAGCGTCTAAAAATTTGGGTAGGCTGAAATATTTTGTAGGAGTGGAAGTCACTCGATCTAAACATAGCTTATTTCTTTCACAAAGAAAATATGACCTGCTAGCAGATATTGGAATGCTTGACTGTAAACCAGCTAATACACCTATTGTTGAGAATCATAAACTTGGGATTTATGTGGATTAGGTCCCAATTAATAAAGAAAGACACCAAAGATTGGTTGGGAAATTGATCTATTTATCACTGACACGCCCTAATATTGCCTATGCAGTAAGCGTTGCTAGTTAATTTATGCATTCACCTAGTGAGGATCATATGGCTGTTGTGATGCGTATTTTAAGTTACTTAAAGTCTGCTCCTCAGAGAGGTTTATTATTTAAGAAAAATAGCCACTTGGATCTAGAAGGTTACATTGACGCAAATTATGCATGGAATATTACAAATTGACATTCTACATCATGTTACTTCACATTTGTTGGCATTAACCTAGTTACGTGGCGTAGCAATTAAGAAGAAAAATGTTGTGTCTCAGTCCTCTACAGAGTCTGAGTACGGAGGGATTGTCCAAGGGGTTTGTGAAATACTGTGGTTAATGTGGTTACTTGCTGAAATTGGGTTTAGACTGGATGGCTGCTACAAAGCTCCACTTTCATAGTCAGTCTGCATTTGAAATTGCTAAAAATCCGGTGCAACATGATCGAACTATGCATGTAGAAGTTGATTGGCATTTCATTAAAAATCCGATTTGAAGACTCACTTGACAAGTTGGGCATTACCGATATCTATGCACCAACTTGTTGGGAGTGTTGGCGTGAGTCAAAGTTAATGTTCCTATTAGGAATAAAAAAAATTTCCTATTAGGAAAAGAATTTGTATTTTATTGTAATTATCTCATTTGAGTAGAATTAGGAGATTTTGTACATATTTCCTATTTGTACCAACTCTGTATGTAGTATATATATCCTTCCTTGAGAGAAGAATAAACATATCAGTTTAAACCCTAATTACTTTTGAGTCTTGACACAATCATTACCACCATTAATGCCTCTATCATTTCTACCACCACCACTAACATCAAGCATGATGGCCCACTATTATTTCGAATTTATAGAAGTTTATAAAAATCTATCAAACTCTATGACAAGATCAAGATTCTAACAAATTTCATCAAAACCAATATCAAAAAGAAATCAATTAAATGACACTCCAAACTTATTTAAAATCCATTAAAATCTTAGTTGAATACACCCCTAAGATCAAGAAACACTTGTGTATAACAAGAATATCACTGTTTTGCTATCACTGGCCTATCAGACTATGTCACGCGTGATAATTTTTCCACTTAATATAGCATAATTGGCCGAAAATAGCAAAATAGTGTTATTTCCGTTTCATATAAGATTTTCTGCCAAGATCACGATAACAAAGACATGTCCTTGAAATTGACCCAATCAGTATAGCAAAAAGCCGTTAACAAACCAGTAACCAATATTGCATGCAAAGAAATCAGTTCATTCATGCTAAAAACTATAATGTAGGACATGTGTAGTGTTCTTTGAAGATATCTGGTTAGGATATGTTTCTGGACTCTGTTGAAATCTGCTGAGAAGTTGTGTATTAAGTAATCTCTATTATCTATTAATCTATGCAGTTGTCTTCCTTGGTCTTCATTAATTAATCTTAATTTTTTTTTTTTTGGTTCATGTTGCCACTTGGTTGTTCAGGACAATGATTTTTTTTTTATACATACAATATTCTAGACCACATATTTTGGGCAAAAGTAGAACACGATGCAAAATTGAGTACAAACAATTGGATAAATCAAAACAATTGCACCATCTTTTTAATCAAATTTAATTAATATAACTTGTAATGTTTTTTCACAATAATAAGTTTGGTTCTTAAAAAACAAAATAAAAAGGACCTCTTAACTCAGGTAGTTAAGAGCAGTTACCACTGCATTCGAGGTTCATATCATTTCTCACAATACTACTGCATAATACAATTCACATATTAGTATTGGAGACAGTTTTTTTTTTCTCTTTAGAGAATACCAAATACATTTTCATTGCCTTTGTTTCAAGAGACTTTCCAAACTGTTCTGCTACACACGCATTTTTGTTTTATGAGAGCTCTTTCTACTTGAGACTGCAAGAACTTTGACGCTGATGGTGCTCGATTTGGCCACCCACAGCCAACTAGATGAAGATGGTAGCAAAATCGTTTACGTGGATTAAACATGCTAGCTGGTTAGAAGCCACTTAAAAACAAAATGTGTTCTTAACTGAGTAGAAACAAAATCAGCATCCACAAGATTATAAGCAAAACGGGATCTTAATTACGTACAAACAGATATGTTACACACAGGATGAGCAACCAGGTGCATGATAAACAAAATGTGCCCTTAATTAAGCAGAAACAGATCATCCACACAGGACTCACAAAATGTCTGCTGTAACTAGAAAGTGGCCATCATTTAACTACATACAAATAACTAGAAATTAACAGAACATTGATCATTATAGCTATCCCACAAGTTAACCAGCATAAGTATCCATGATCTTACCAACCACCTCCTTAGAATCCTTGAGCTTTTTGATGCTCTTGTTGAGCTTCTCGCGCTTGACTGCAACTGATGGAGCTTCCTCCAGCATCCTCTCAATCCCAACGCCGTGATTTTCTCCCATTAGCTCACAACCAATCTCCATCTCCATTTCTTTGTTCACAAGGTTTGCAACAGTCAGCTGCAAATGCAAGGCCATGCAATCAACCAGCCTTCTCAGAACAACCTTCCAATACGCAGTCATCCGCATTTTCAAGTCAAAAGCTTGAGATAGATCAACATGAGTGTACTTCCTTAGACCTTCAAATTCAATCTCCCCAATACCCTCTACGTCCATCTTAGAGGGCCGTTGCTCATCCTTCAAGATTCCATCTATGAATGCATTCTGTTTGGTCATGAGCCTATTCCATTCAGATACATATTCAGGATTACATGTGTAATCTGTATGTTTCTCCATGTCCACAATCTCCAAGATCCAGTTGATTGACCTTTCTTTCATCTTGGATATAAGATTATGGCCAGCTCTTCTGGTAGCCATATGAAGATGATAATAGCCTTGTGTGTCATGCATTAACACAGAAATCACCACATCCCCAATATAACTCCACACCTGCTCAACAAACCTAATTGGTATACTTGAAATTCCCCTCACTTTTCGCTGCAAAATAGAAAGAAAGACATTGTGGGGAAGAAAATTGGGAAGACTAATACCTTTCGCTTCTTCCAAAACCTTAATCTCCTCCGTTAAGAAGTTACTTTTGGGATCACTTTCATTGGCCTTATGAAGTTCATCAGCATACTGATTGAGCATTTCTACAAGCCTAGCCGTGCAATGCATGTGCTTTTCATTTTGGTACTCGTCAAATTCTCCTCTAATAAGAATTTTCCTAAGCGATTCTTTGGACACTCCAATGATGTTAATGAAAACTATCATGGCATCAGCAACAGATGACAATTTCTTTGGCATTTTGTCGAGCTCTGAAAGGCAGGAACTCAGCTTGTCATTAATCTTCTTAACAATATCCGGCAAATTTCTAGCTATGCTAGTGGCTTGAATTTGAACCAACTTTTGGGCCAAAACATGAATTCCAACTGTAGATTTGTCAATCCTGGAAAGCAGAGGATGAGTTTGAAATAGTTGGTCAGAAATAGCTAGAGCTTCCTCGTACGTCTCACCTCCAATCCGGTTCCTTACGCAGACATAACCAAGAGCAATATTGACTTCATCAGCTGTAACCTTCTCTAGCAGTCCCTCTGGTGCTTTATCAACCATTGTAACCACAGCCAGAGTCCTCTCACCAGTTTTATCCACACTCTGTGACATCCTAATCGATTCACAAGTAATAAAATCCACAGTCGCAGACAACTCATTTAAAATGATGCTCTGTTCAGGTTTTATATACTCCATGATCATATCCTTAATTTGATCATAAATATTCTCAGGCTGGCCATGAACAGGAACCCCTAGTGATTCCAGGGAGATCAACCATGGTCAAATCAGGCACACCATTCTTTTTCACCAACAAAGTCAATAAGGTTTTAGAAATTCCCTTACCTCCACCAGCAATGACATTAGTGGCATTGATAATATCTTTTGAAATGTTGAGCTCATCAGTCTGTTTAACTCTGCCATTGTACTCCAGTGAAAGCTCTGGTTCTGCACGTGCATGGTGTTGAAGCCTCATTATGAGGGGTACCCTGGTGCAGATGCCTTGTTCACGTGGCAGACTGATTCCAGCAAGGGATTCAAGAACGCTAGATTTACCAGATGACTGGTCTCCGACAACAACAATTGTGGGGAGCTGAATGCCTTCCTCCATAACCATGAGGCTACGGAGCTTATCAACTGCATCAAGCAGAGGACGAAATTTTACGTTGTAAGATGACACAATGGGTGCATCCACAGCAACATTGAGAGGTACAGCATGTTCGGCTTCAACAACTAGTGCTGCGGACAAGCCTTCATCTTCTAAAATGGTGGTGGTGGATAATTTGCTTTTAGGATCAGCTTTTGTTTGCATTCCTCCTCCGGTTTCTGATGTATTGGCAGTGGTGGCGCTTGATTTGTTTTTTTTCTTTCCTCCCATTTCTGATTATAGCTAGCATAAACAGGAATTGAGAGAGAGGAAGAGATAGAGGTAATATATATAAGCACACCACACTGAAGTCCAAAGACAAGCGTCTGGGCAGAAGCGTAGCTTTTTTTCTTGAAGCATTTATCAAACTGAAGTGAAAGAAGCAGTCAATTCACTTCGATAATAAATGACAAAATAGATGTTCCTAATCTTGCTCAAAATAGGTGCTTGGATATCCACAAAGTAATTAATGTTCCTAATCTTGCTCAAATGCTTGACGTCAACGACGAAACCCTTGCCATGCTGCTTCCAGTAATCCGCCTGCGGATTACTCCACTCCGGCTCGGCTATCTCCACCCTCGACACCCTCAAAGCATCCGTTGATATGTTGTACTTGTCATCCCTCTTCTGCACCAGCTCCGGCTTCACCATCCCCAAGTTCACCGCTTGGGGCGACATCATCAGCGCCGGCGCCCCCAGTGGAAGCCGATCACCTAATAATAAATCAAAGCAATTAATTTAATTTATGTTTAAAAAAAAACACACACACACACACACACACACATATCTACCAAATTTTGTTTAATTAATTACTAATTAAGCGCTGCGTGCAAGAGGCTCTTTTTTCCGCTTCTATTTTATTTACCTCGATCAACCTGCCATGTGCACCAGAATTTGCCATAAGTTTTGGTCAAATTATTGAGCTCAGGCTGGCCAATTATATCGGGGATCCGAGGGTTGACCCAGAGGCCTGCTTTGATCTCATAAGCATGGGAATGCCACAGCTTTTGCTCATCCGGAGGCAGAGTCTCAAATATCCTATCAGACACCACATACTCCACACCTGCAAAAATACCACAACTTGGAAGTTAATTAAGCCTTTCCGAAACAACGTCGTTTCAGTGTAGCTTTTATATCTTTACCGATCAGTCGGGCGTGGGAGTCGTCGGAGTCGTAGACGGCGCACTGGAGGAAGTCCTGGTTGAGGCGGGTGACGTAGTGGTGGGTCTCGATCTGACGTGTCATGTCGTGGCTGTAGAGGGCGAAGGTGCACACGTGCTGGCTCATCTGGTTCACCGGCTTCAGGGACTGCATCATCTCCGCTCCTTTGTCCAACACGTGTTGCCCCATCGTCATCGGCTTTCCCGGCGGCGTCGGATGGTCGCCCTGGAAGGCCGGGTTCGGAGTCGGTGTCTTGTCACTTGAAGCCATCTCAAACGACGTCTATCTCTCTTTCTCTGTGACTATGATCAGTGCAAGTGTAGACTCTCTGGTTGTAAATACTTTCACATATGTGATCAGAAGGATTCCAAGGAGAGAGAATTGATAAAGGAATGGGAATACGTGGTGTGTTGTGAGGCTTCCACGTGGACATGCATGTTGCATGGGGGAGGTGTGAGGTGGCTGAGGGTTGTGAGTTGAGGTTGCCCAATGTAGATGATTTGAGGTTGAGTTGAACTTGTAAAGTGGCTACAGTGACATCTGTCCAGTTCGTTTGGTTCTTGTTTTTCACTTTGTATTTTGAAACCTCTTATAACAATGAAAATTAAATTAAGGCAATCAAATTAAGTTGGAAAATGTGGGAATAATGGAAACTCATCATGATTTTCATTGAGGATGAACACAACAAGTAGTAGCTGGAAAGGAAAGCAAACGTGCTAGGGCTAAATCATCATATTGAAACTATCCAACTTTTCACACATGACATTATTACATTAAATTAACAACATACATTTAGTATTTCTTCTTGGATCCTGGTGATGAGGATGAGAAGTCATTCCTCAATTTTCTTGTTCTGTTTTGAGAGCAGGATGGGGCTCCCAGGCCTGTACTTGTACCTCTTAGCAACAAACACATAGACAATGAAGTTGATCAAGCTCATGAAAGAAAGCAACCAATAGAAAAGATTCAAGTGGTTCAAGTTGATGTTGTTCCCAGCCAACCAACCTCCACTTCTTGTCACATCCTTTGTTGCACCATTCACAATCTTCACCAATATGGTGCTGAAAAAATACCCAAGTGCCATGGAGCTCCACAGAAAGCAAGTTGAGATAGATTTCAAGCCCATAGGCGCCTCTGAGTAGAAAAACTCAAGAAGCCCCACATAAGTGAACAAGTCTGCAATTCCAAATATGAAGTACTGGAAAGAGAGCCAGAATGTGCTGATGGGCAGTGGCTGAAGCACTGGCCTTGCCAGCAGCATGTTGTGGTCTCTTGCCACATCTTTTCTCTTCACTTCCATGATGCCAGCCACAGCCATGGAGACACAGGACAGGATTAGCCCTACCCCTACGCGCTGCAGGTGGGTTATGCCGGAGGGTATGCCAGTAATTTTGCTTGCTATCGGCACAAAGATGCGATCGTAGACAGGGATTATTATGATCAGGAACAGAACTGGGATGATGGAGAGTGAGGCCGGTGGGATTTTGAAGGATTTGGTGATGCTTGTGTCCATGGTGAGGCCCTGTTGGATTGAGAAGGTTTGGAGCTGAGCCAGGCAAAGGGTCATTATAATTGTGCAGCCGAATATAGGGACCATGCCTAGTATGATTTTTGCATTTTCCACTTGGGTCACTCTGCAGAGCTTCCATGGGTTTGGAGGCTGCTGTTCATCAACTTGCCCTGTTGTTGATGGTTGGATGGCTGCTTTGTCCAAAAATCTGAACAGAAATTCAATTTGATATATTATGTTGTGAGATTATGAATCAAGATAATATTTGAATGTGCGCATTTGATTCGCATTTTGATAACATAACATGCCGGAAATATCACATGCTTAATTTTGCCACCCTTCGAATGTAGAAGGTCATGTGTTTTGGTAAAAAATGATAAGGTACCTGAAAATGGATCTGTGAGGTAGAAATTCTTCTTCAAGAGCAGCTTCCTTGTCTTTGTTAATCTCATACAAATCTGCAGGGTCCTCAGGAAGGCTAAGGTTTCTGTTACGGATGGCTGCAACATACACCTGAAAGGACATGAGCAAGACGTCAACTAGTTAACGAGTTGATCTGAAGGAACAGTGTATATTTGGAAGTATCCATTTAAGGATCTTCCTTGAGCCGTCTCCTTCTTAGATTCCCTATATCTAAGCACCAAAAGAAAACAAAACATACACTACATCTTAATGACTTAGTCAATCTATTCTATGATATTAATTTGGATTAACTTATAAAAAACCATATCTTTCCTTAACCTCCAAAGAGGGATCTTTTCTTTTTTAGTCCATTGAAAGCAAAAACTTTAGGGTGAGACAGTCATATACATCCTCTTTTTCACATCAACACATCGTACGTGCCGTTCAAGTGAATGGATGATTGTGAGAAAAGAGCGTATATGTCCTCCTCCACCAAAAAATTTATCCATGGAAAGGCATGACTAGATTACTTACTCTTTGTTAATTACCTAAGTCTTGGAACTAAATTTTACAGGGTTAAAAAGGAAACAAACCTGTATAATTTCAACTATGGCACTAGTTCCTTTGATAGGTTGTATCCGGTACAAAGGCAATCCTGCGAAAAAGATGACCACACCCAAGAACATGGCAATTGTGGAGAACCCGAAGCCCCAATCCCATCCTCTATTATCTTGGATCCACACAATTAGTGTCAAACTGACTGCACCACCCAAGCACACTGCCAGCAACAGCAAGTTGAAGAAACTGGACATCTGCCTTGCCTCTCTTGGGTCTTTTTCATCAAACTGATCAGCACCATGTGATGGCAATGTGGCCTTGATCCCAGCAGCCCCGGCAGCCAAGATGTAGAGAGCAATAAAAAGCAGTGCAGCATTTCCACCACCAACTTTCTCACACATAGCAGTTGGATCAAACACATTACAGAGTGGTGGCCTCAGTTTGGGGTAGTGAGCTTGCACAGTTAGTAATGCTAGTCCCTGAAAGAAAATTTTGCAACATTCATTATATCCATCAAACACCATCCAGTTACAAAACCCAATTCAATTTGTGATGAGGACTAATTTGACATACCACAAACTCGAAGCATCCGGAAGTGAGAAGAGTTTTGAATCTGCCAAAGAAGGTGTCTGCAAGGATGGCCACGATAATGGAGAGAATATAACCAGTTCCCATGTAGTTGGTAAGCTGGTTAGCTGCATCTGCTAGTTCAAAGTGCATGACCCCATTGAAGTATGTAACCAAGTTCACAGCCAGGGCAAAAGTTGCCATGTTCTCTAAACCAAATGTTGCTGCAACATGTATATACGGAACCCAAAATGGTAAATTAACTAGTAAACCAGTATAAAGGTGATCATGATGTGTGTGTGCTAAAAGAGTACCTAGTATGAGCACAGCAGTTCTCATTCCTCCATGTTTATATTTCACAGCCGACCTTCCCTTCCAATCCACCTTCCCTTCAACAAGCTCAAGTTTATCCTGCAGAGTACAGAAGAATTTATGTTAATTGAAAAATAAGATAATCCCATGAATTTGTTAAGTTTTTTTGAGGAACTTGAACTGAAATAAACTGCTCTGAAATTACCATCGATCTAGCTACAAGGATATGCTGTGATCTCTGGTGCTTAAGAGAAGAGGCTACGATGTGTATTTGAGAAAATGGTTGAGAAGCTAATTGAAACTGAGGTTTGTATATATAAGGCTTCACATAGAAGGACGTGAGGCTAATGGGGGAAGTTATGTAACGACCAATTGTCATGCCCATAATGCCCTTTAATTTGTTGGAATGTTGGTGCATGTTTTGCCATAACATTGCCGACTTCATGTGTAAGAGATTCCCAAGACGTTGTCAAGGATTGTCCAAGAGGAAACATGAACAAGGACAGCAGAATGAGAGCTACCCATTTAACATGTACTTCTATAGAATATAATAAAATAATCTTATTGGTGCTTAGAAAAAAATGTGTTTCAATTTTTTCAATTAAGGATATACGAAATGTGAGAACTTGTAGCTCTAGTGGTAAGTGTATCTTACTCATACACATGACGAGATTAGACTCTCGTCCTCAGCTATAATATCTTTTGATTTCGTTTTTCGTGTGCTTTATAATAATAGCCTGGGAATGTCAAACTCCAAAAGCCTAACCAATTTTTGTGTCAAGTTTCCATTATCTAAATTGTTGCTTGAATGTTCTTTTTACAGGGTGTCATGAAATTCAAGATAAGGTGCTTACTGGAGCATTGATTCACACATTGAAACTACATAACTCATGTACCAAAAACATTACACGTATGATGCATACTAAATCATCAACAAACTCTTATGATTACATGATGAATAAATTTGTAACTCAAATAATTAAGAGCATCTATCTTTCATTTGAACTCCTATGTTTGAATCCACCACTCCAAATATCGCTTATATAAAAAAATATACGGTTACGCCTACGTGTAAAGCCTCTTAACTCCTATTTTTTTCCTGGAAAATTGATTGCACCTAACGCTCTAATTATCGACAAGTAAATGTATCCATCATTAAACCCTTTTCGTCATAAGATAACCTCCACATCCCACAATCAAATCCTCCAGCTGGGCATCCAATCCAATATGTCAAGGACACCCGAGGCTGAGAAGATGTGTCACTAGGTCATTCATCAGTACGTAATCGAAGTGACTGCTTAGTTGAAGTGTTGTTATTCGAAAGACCTAGTTTCTTTGTAACCAAGAAATACGTAGTTTAGTTTCATTGGATTGGACCAAAAAGTGGAGTGGCTAGTTTATTCGCCCTCTTTTTTTCCTTTTAGTTTAAACACTTACAAATCTATAACTGTGTCTTCTTCTATAGCATATATACTCTCTCTCCCTCGTTCCATCTGCAAACGCAATTTACTTAAGTTAGAGCATCATCAATGGGTGGTGTATTTTTGGAAGTGTAAAGTCACTTTTATATTCCATTTACACTTCCAAAGGGGGTAATGAATTTTTTGCTCCAATTAATGGGGAAAGATATAAATCCGAAGATGTACATTCGTTTGTGTTTGATGATTTTTTTTTTTTTTTTTTTTTTTTTTTTTTTTTATTTTTTTTTTTAATTTTTTAATTTAATAAAATAAATATAATTTTTGTGTTTATTGGTTTATTTTTTTCCAAACAAATGGACTTAAAAAAATTTTAATTTGGAGAACACGTGATTTTACTTACAAACTAACATAACGATATATATGTAGAAAATTATAATATATTTTAAACATTTTAAGGTTTTTTTTTTCCTAATATTTTCAACCATTGGAAGTGCAATGCAAATTGCATGAAATCTAGGTCTTCCATTTTGAATTCCAATCCATCTCAGTCGTTCATCATAGAGCTGTAGAGGATTGTCATGCACCACTTGATGTGCTCACGTCATCTACATCATTTTGTATGGTGGCTGAAGAATGATTCCAACATTCTCTCTCCCTTTTTCTTCTGTGGGTACAACCTGCAAAGAATGTAAAAAAAGATGCACATGTGCATCGAATTTTTCATCTCCACGACTATGCATTTTTACAACCATTTTTACTTGTCCATTGTAGGTGATTTTGGCAACAAAGTGTGTATATTTAGCATACACATAGCTTTATACAACACCTCACCCCCCCCACACCCCCCCCCCCCCCCCCCGCCCGCCGGCCAAAAAAAACTAGTGATGCTTTTAGGGGTGGGCATATGAATCGAAAACCCGATCAAACAGCCCAAACAAAATCGTTGATCTGGTTTGGTTTGGTTTTTATTTTTTATTTTTTGTCACCGATTTGAAACCAAACCAAACCATTTGTCTATAATTTGGTTTCGATCCTTGATGTTGAGAATCATCGGTTTAACCAAACCAAATTGGTGGTATTCCAAAATAATAAACATAATATTATTATAATAAATATATGGATATAATATATAATTTAAGGTAAATAAAAAGAACTATTTTGGCACACATGCCAACACAAAATCTAGCAACACTCCTTCCAATTATGGGTGGTTGCAGTTCAGTCTAATTAGATACCAACTAGGGAGACCAACTTTAGATACTAACTTGTGTATCATCTCTCTAATAGAGGTGGAACCTAATGTATTGGTGCGCTCTATCTCTCTATTAGAGAGATGGTACATAAGTTGGTATCTAAAGATAATTTCCCTAGCATGACCCAATCATAAATGGTGAGCTCATCAAAAACAAAAAAGTCATAGACCCAACCAACAACCAACCATAGGCCAAACAAGTCATAAAGCCCAATCCAGGCATAAAGCCCATTCCAGACATAAAGTCCACTCGCTGGTGCCAATGTTGCCGCCAGTGTAAAGAGAGGGACATCACCATCTTGGGCAAGGTTGAGTGTAGGAACTACCATCACTCAAAAACATACATAAATATACATGAGAAGTCCATAAATTTACCCATTTATGTACTCTTTATACTCAATTTTTGTAGGAGAATTTGATTTAAAAAGGACTTATTACTTTATTTTCTAATTTTTCAGCTTTCCAGAGCAAGTAATTGGTTTTCAACAAAAATACGACTTTTTGATCGAGTTCTAGTACAAGACCAATTGGAAATGAAAGCTAAGATCTTGAAGATGATTGTGGAATTTTTCTAGAATTTTCAGAGTAGCCAATGAGAGCAATCTTTGAACCTAAGTCAGCATAAGGTGCAATCCCGTCAAAACTGTGCTGCTGTGGAATAATGATTATTTGAATACTTTCTTGATTTTTTTTCTCAAGGCGTATAATATACGGCTAGAAAGATAAGACAAAGATCTACAATTTACATATTTTTTTCCAAAATTTCTTAAAAGAGGAACAATCCCAAACGTCCATGCAAAGGAACTGACGTGTTATCCCAGTCCAAGTAAGAAGATGAGTCAATTACTTACCCATTTTGGATTTATGTTTTAATTAGGTTTTTCTTTATTTTTGGGCTGTTGTAAAAGCCTAGCTAGGATAGGAATAGACGTGTGGTATTTTACTTAAATATGAAAAACAACTCCTTTGGATGCACGCAAAGACTAGGAGAAATTGGAGACGCCAGAAGAGTAACGCAATTGGCTACGCTTTATTTTTTCTTCCTTATGTTTTTGCTTATGCCGAATTCTATGATTAGGTGTAACTAATTTTCTGTTGCTAGGGCATGATGTAGCCCTAGTATGATAATCTAGTTTTCTTATTTTACCTATCTATTGATTGCCGTTTGATGTTGGATTCTTAATCATTGTGCTTAATAACTTGGTTGATTATCTTGATGCTTGATCACCATCTAGACTTTTAATTGAGTTAATTGGATGCAAATTATAGTAAATACCATACTTAATTTGAGGCTTTGTGATTAGGATTTGTAATTCGTCTAGGGTAAATACCATACTCTTAGGGTTCACATGCTTATTGGCAGTTTTCACTGATCTTAATGAGTTTCTATGTGTTAATATTTGACCTAAATACCATAGGCGAATTGAATGTAGGAATATACGAGTTAGCCTAAATACCATAGGTGATTCATGAAAGGAAAACTAAGTGGCGACATCAAATGGTTAGCTAATAGGTAAGTGAATAAGAGGTTAGATCGGATTACTAATGGTAAATTCATTGTCCTAGTGCTTCTATCAATTTGAATTTCTCATCCTTGTATTTCGTGATTTTCTACTTGTTTTGTCTTTTAATTTCGTTGTTAATTAAATCATTCTTTCAAAAAACCCTTTTGTGTTTATGTGAGCATGCTACATGTTTAATTTCTTGTTTTTATAATTATAGTAGTTAAAAGTATTTTGTGAAGTAAATTAGGTTAGACTAATTGGAAGTTGAACTCAATCCTCGTGGGAATGACCTTGTATTTGCCATACTAAATTACGATTGACCTTGTGCACTTGCAAATATAATTTGTGTTTAGACTAATCCTTATAATCTCCATTTTTCAGGTTGTCTAAAATTCACAACAATACACAAAAGCCAACAATCCAAATTCATCACCTCTAGCAGAGTCAAAACCACCTAAGCACCCATACAAATGTAGCAAGCAATCGAAAAACAGCCATGGGAAAACACAACTCATAGCCAAACGAATAAGCAACCTGAGAAAGAAAGGAGGTGGTGCAAGCACTTGAGCAAGAGCTCTATATATCTTCCCAGTGGTACGCGAAAACTCGCGTATAAGATTGTTTGATGTATCCAAAGGGTGAGAGTGGATCATAGAAGGAGAGAGATTTTGTAAGGGCTACACATAGAGAGATAAGATTTTGTAGATCTCTGCTAACGAAAATTAAAGGAGGCATTTAGCCTTAAATGTGCGGAAGCAGCAACTCAAACAAGTTACCACCAAAAAATCTAGAAAGAGAAAGGAGTGAAGAAGTGAGAAAGGAAGAGGGAATAAGGGGGAGAGGGGAGGAGGGGCAATGACCTCCTTCTCCCTTGGCTGATGCAGCACTGGGAGGGTTGTAGTCGATATGGTGTATCTCTTTATGTGTCTCGTAACTTCGAAAACTTTTTGTTATGTTGTAAATGAACTTTGGGTGTATTTCTAAACTCCATTTCATATAGGGTTTTTGTTATAATTTGAGCCACTTATAT